GGAGGGGTTTTGTATCAAGAAATTGAAGGAAAGAAAAGGGTTATTGCATATATCAGCAGAGGCTTGCGAAAAGAAGAGAAAAATTACCCTAGTTATAAACTAGAACTACTTGCACTCAAATGGGCAATAACTGAAAAATTGAGAGACTATCTCACATATTCCTCAACCATTGTGTATACTGATAACAATCCACTCACTTATTTCAAGACAAAAAGCAAACTCAATGCTACTGAACAAAGGTGGATGTCAAGTCTTAGTTCATTTGATTTTGAAATAAAATATAGAACTGGTAAAACAAACTGTGCAGCTGATGCTTTGTCTCGCATACAGGATACAGAAGAATCTGTCAATATGTGTGACATTGAAAGTATCCCGGGTACAAGTCTACCTGAGGAACTGAGATTGTCAATTATGGAAGATTTGATAGATACTCAGTCAAATGTAGAAATATCAGCCACAAATGTAAGTGATTCAATGACTGCTGATATAGCAGATAGTCAAAAGAATGACCCTGAAACTAACATAGTGTATACACATGTCCAACAACAAACGTTGCCAACCTACGATCAAAAATCCAAAATGTCACAATCAACGAAAAGTCTATTTCGTCATTTTGACAAACTAAGCATCCAACAAGGTGTTTTGGTAAAAGAAATTGAAATAGAAAATGAACATGTTCATCAGGTAATTTTGCCCAGATCAAAACAACTATTAGCAATTAAGCAAATCCATGACAATTTGAACCACCAAGGTATTTCAAGGTGTAAAGCCCTCTTAAGACAAAGATACTTTTGGCCAAACATGGATAAAGACATTGAAACGTATGTGGCAAGTTGTAAAACATGTACTGAAGCAAAAACAGACAATTTCAAAATACGTACACCTATGCAAAGCTTAATATCGTCTCAACCATTAGAAATAATTGCTATTGATTACACCAAATTGGACGAATCCGTAAGTGGTTTAGAGAACGTTCTAGTTATATCAGATGTGTTTACAAAATTTACCACAGCACATGCAACTAGAGATCAAAAAGCAAATACTGTTGCAAGGGTTCTAGTGAGAGAATGGTTCCAAAGATATGGTGTTCCTCAAAGAATTCATTCTGACCAAGGTCGAAATTTTGAAAGTGAGATAATTAGTCAACTGTGTACAATGTATGGTGTTAAGAAAACAAGAACCGTTCCATGTCATCCAGAGGGTAATGGTCAAGTGGAGAGATTCAATAAAACCATGCAGAATCTGTTGAAGACGCTCAGCCAGGAGAAGAAAAAGAAGTGGCCGGAATACTTGTCAGACATATGCTTCTCTTACAATATTACACCACATGCATCAACTGGTAAAAGCCCATTCTATCTAATGTTTGGAAGGGACCCAAAGCTTCCAACTGATATATTCCACGACAAGTGTAGTCTAGACTTGAACTGGGTCACAGAACACCAAAAGCGGTTGCAAAAAGCATATGCACACACTCTGCAAAAGTTAAAAGTTCGAGCCTTACAAAGGAAGCTGAATTTTGACAAGAAAGTCCACAATCCAATCATTTCCGTGGGTGAAAGAGTTCTGCTCAGAAAAAGAGTACCAGGACGTAATAAACTAGTCAATACATTTGACAGCGTGACCTACAAAGTGATAGATGAATACAAGAATGGAACCTTCAAAATCATGAAAGCTGACAATACAGGTGTTGCTAAAGTTGTACAAAGAAGAGATCTCCGACTGATTGGATTTCAAGATGAGAATATACCTCTTCCATCTCTAGAAACAGTGAATGATGATGAAACCAGTGGGAGCGATGAAGAACAACCTGGCTATATTGTAACGCGAGCATATGCTTTCACACCAGAGGATGTGCCTGTACCTGTCCCAAGAAGGAGTGTCAGAGTAAGGGAACAAAACAAGTAAAATAAAAATATAAAAAATCAAGGAAACGTAAAAACAGCCTATAAATACAAACACAATGTACAAATGTTTTAATTGTTTTAATAACTTTTAAGTTTCAGTTTTTATTGTGTAAATTTCTCACCAGTTCTGCATCTCATTAAAACATTTTACTTGTCTCGTTTTCAATGTACTAACATGTGAGAGAACTTCAAATTGAAAACCATTTCTGAATGTCATTCTTGTCAATAAAACCAGACTAGTATCCTATTGTGTATTTAAATGACAAGTAAAGTATAATACATACACGTGTGATTTTTGTGTCAAAGTTCAAAGTTCTTTACAGTTTCTTCACAAGTATTAAAAGCTTCAATGCACTGTAATGTAATTTTATGTTTGATCATAATAATCTTAAATGCAACAATGTGTTTGAGATTTCACTGTAAGCCTCTTTTCTGTGTAATATGTAATGTGATGTTATGACAAAGTTTAAATATTTTTACAGTTTCTTAAACAGTACTAAAAGCTTCAGTGCACTGTAATACATGTTTATATTTGTTCATAATGTTAGAAATGCATCAAGCATTTGTGAAATCACACAACGGCACAATTTCAAAGTGTTTTTCATACGAGTAGCAAAATACATTACATAAAAAAGGTTTTTTTCACTAAAACATGTAATTGTATTTTAACTCACAAATGAATAGGATTGCACAGTGCTCACACACAAGCAAACAAACACCTCATTTCATAATTAAAAATAAAATGTCAAATTATGGAGATAATGTTAAAAAAAGTCATTGCAATAACTTTTTATTAAGCTTGCAAGTTGATATAAACAACATTATGTTGCCAGGTTCTTCAAACGTCCTAGCAAAACATATGACACTATGACAATTAGTAAGGTAGAAGAGACACTTAGATTTAGAGAGAGTAGGATAAGTAGTGAAGTATTTTATAAATAGACTATTATGTAAAAGATGCAATTATGAGTTAATGTTTATGTTTATCTAGTTAAGAGGAGTTTTAAAAATCAATTCTTAATTTACTACTGTGTATTCATTTTGGTGCAGTATATACTATATTTGGTATAGGTAATGGCTGTTGTCATAAATTAATTTAAGACCAGTACGTTTATTAACTGACGAATTTAGAGGAGGTAAATCTTTACTAAATATTTTATTAAGTACCAACTTGTGACCTGATAAGTAAACAAAAACTATTAAAAATGTGTGTTGTTAAAATAGTTCATTGTTTATAGTTTTATTGTATCTTATAAAATCATTTTTGTGTTCCATAGTATTATTTTAATATTACAGAACATAATATTATTTCACGTTGTCCGCGTGGGCATCAGGTTTCACCTTTATACTGTGGTGCAGAGTGGCTAGGTCAAGGTCATAAATGACTTGAACAATGTCCACGTGAATGTGATATCGTACCTCTATTTTAATTAAAAGTAATATTCTCATTTATAAAAAGCATTAGGCTTTAATATGTTCAACTAGTAAGGTTCAATGAATACAAAGTTTATAATGCTGTACACAAAGCAATAGCCTTTAAGCATCAGTGTTGATTGCCAAGTTTTAGCTGATAGAAGGTTTAATACGCTTGAGTGAATACCAGTACAGAATCATGTTATGCAGAAATCATACACTAATCCCACTTTTTATTGTGTTCGATTTGCACATTTTCAGCCAATGACAACTTTGTAATAACTTGTATTTGACTATACACCAATCCCACTTTACATTGTGTTCAATTTGCACAATTTCAGCCAATGACAAGTTTGTAATAATTTGTATTTGAATATAAACCAATCATAATTTGTGAGCTCCTAAAGGGACATATTCCTTTTAGCATGAGTGTAAAACTTGATTTCCAATATAAAAGCTACACCTAGATTTATTTCAATCAGTCCCAACATTTTGATACAAAGTTTTGCTGCAGTAGGAGTTACAACAAAAACAGTGTGAGATGAACATGTAAAGCTGCCAACATAAAATACCAATGTGCAGTTATCAACTGCACATTGGTATATTTAACAATAAAGACAATTTTAAACCTACAATACGTGTTATTGATCTATACGCACATACGTCCACCTTCCAAGTGTGCTACATTTATGAAGACGAAAAATAAGCATAATAGTCAAATATTGTTTGAGTTATGAGCGTTTAAAGACGAAAAATAATTCAAAATGTAACGTGTCAACAGGGGATATTTGCCAGGTGTTTTGGTAAAAAACTCTTTTTTAAAAAAGAACGCACAAGAATCGTGAACGGAGTGTAGTTGATCTAAAAACATCATCGAAACAGCTTTAAAATGATATATATATATTATCTTATAATCCGGGGAATCAAAGCTACATTCACGGGATACCCTAAAAAACAAATGCGTCACCTTTTTGCGACACGTCATAGAAACGAGAAATAGGAAAACTATGGATGGTACAGAAAACGTTTGTGCCTAGCCCTAAGGGGTGTTTTCGACGGGTTACCCTTGCTCTGGGGTCTATATTACGATTCGAAAATGAGAATTCACCAATGTTTCGAATATTCATTATGGTCCGCCATTACTACGGTCCGCCGTTATGACGTCACATTAAACGTATTACCAGGGGCAATGTTCGCGAATTATACCCCGGGTGAAATGTTGACTTTGTTTACAGTTTATAGAAGGCGTGAATACAGTCATGTCATTATTGCCCACGGGGGTATGTCTTTCTGAAACTTGTGCAACTATATATGAGTCATTCTTAACCTCAGTTTGTTTCGATACGCTGCATAATCAAGTTATCAACATAACGTAGTTCGATTTTTGCATAGAAACTCCTATCTTTAGGCTTGGAACAATTCTCACCAGATGTCATTCCAACGTTAATGTCTGTAGTTTTATTTTTAATATAAAGAAGTTATTTAAAGACTTCTTTAAATACTGTTGTTTCAATCCAAAATAGCTGTCATAGTCAACAGTGTGGTGTGACATTTCAAGATGGCTTGTACATAGATAACATTTTGAGACGATATGCAATAAAAGTTGCGGCACACAGTCGTTTTAACAAAGGCTAGCTCTGGACACTCAAGTAAATAATATATCCTTCTTTTGCATTTTAATAGTATCGTAATGCTCTGAATATGAACAACTATTTGGTTAGCGCAACGACTGAACTATGGTATTTTAATGCTAATGGAGAACCTCGAGGAAAAGTGTTCTACGAGTTTGATTCTTCTCTATGTAAGTATTCTGCTTTTGTCCTAGTTTTTTCAGCGAGAGTTCTGTCCAGTGACAAACGATTTTATTTGCTTTGTATTACATACCTAGCGAAGCATTTGTATGGAAGTCAATGGAGCCGAAGGACGGCTATATATTCCTGTATAGCCGCCAAACTTTTTACCATGACAATCGTATGACGTCACGTTTCATTTCTTACATATTTCAATCGCACACAGACGTGTGACGTCATTCACGGGTAACTAGAGTATCCGCGTATATTGAGTATGACCGGTTCTAAGCTTACGAGTGTGACCGTATTTCTGTTCCTATAAACAGACGAGGTGAGTACTTGCTTTTTATGAACACTTTCGAACGTTTTCTTTTTATCCTACTTGGTCAATGGATGATACTTGGTATACTTATAATGCCAGGCATATCACAAGGGGCCTTAATCAAGAGAAAACGTATTAATATTAGATTGAAGCCGTAAAATCCTAGTTTCCAGCCTCTTTGATCAGTTTTTGTGTAACACAACACAACTCCGAAGAGGATGACACATCTTATGTATAATATATAGCTAGATCTACGAATTAGTCATGAATATTTTAAATAATTTAGCCTGCTCTGTCCGAATATGATACATCTTTGAATTTTTGAGAATACGAATGTCACTGGTGCCCCATTATTGGAGAATACGGTTGTGAAATGTCTTGGATCGGCATTTAACCGGTGTTTGGATACGACTTTTAGCGGTGACAGATGCAAAAGGTAATTCGAAATACCAGAATGTTGAGGCTCTTCAGACGCTTGCAGTAGGTCTCCAATATAAAGTTGGAAGAACTAAATAAGAGTAGATGACTTATAGTGTCAAGAGCCTATTTTTCCAAAATAATTCAGTTAAACGTAGACCGAAAACAATAGCCTTGTTTGATTATAATTATGTTGTCCCATTTCAGACCTTTTGTAGATTTGTGGTTAAATCAGTTGACCCGATTTCAGAATGTTGGCGAAAGTAATGGCAAAATATGCTTTTAGAACATTTTTTATCGAATTTCAGTAATATAATAAGACAGGTTTTATACCAATACATTACAATGTATGGAAAGAAAAGTTTATCATGTATTTGAAAATATAAACATTGGAGAATTGTTGGGTATGCTGTAATCCTGTACCGGATAAATTCGTCTCATGCACCGCATACACTCGTATTGTACACCGCTCACATTCGGATAAATTCCTATCATGCACCGCATACACTCCACTGGTGATCCACTCGATTACGCTGGTTACCAAAACGAACCGTTTTGGTAACAAAATGTCGGAACGTCGAAGGCACGATTTTTCTTTTTTCCTTATTTCACGCGTTGTAGGCAGAATCCCCACGACGTTTTTTCTCACAACGTGCATCAGTATCATATGTTTTAGAAAATATACATGTTTGCGAAAAAATAGCTCAGAGGGCAACAGAATCGTCGATTTACTTCCTCACTTAAGTTACATAAACGGTTTTTCGAAAAACAGTTAAGATCTGCACTTTTAACCCAAACCGTTCATGTAACTTAAGTGACGAAGTAAATCGACGATTCTGTTGTCTTCTGAACTATTTGTTCGCAAGTATGTACACTTTTTTAAACATAGGATACTGATACACGTTTGTGTTAAAAAATGTCGTGGGAATTCTGCCTACAACGTGTAAAATAAGGAAACGAGAAAAATCGTATCTTCCGGATGTTCCGACATTTTGTTACCAAAACGAACCGTTTTGGTAACCAGCGTAATCGAGTGGATCACCAGTGCACTCGTATTCTACACCGGTAACATTCCGATCACATCAATCAGTGGGCCGTGTTACACTCGTTTCCATGACATTTCACAAGCGTTTCCTCTGGGAAAAGATAAATCCTTCTCTTGCTCACTCTACGGGGGATCATATAAACTGAGATTTGGAGATCTTGTTCAGGTTAGCCATAAAAAGGTTTGGGATTTGTTTTTTTCTACTGTGATATTAATGATTTGGCTCTAAGGCGAGAAATCTGTACTTTCTGATTGATATTCCATTATGAACAGTTACATTGCTAAAATAGCTCATGTTTAACATTTTTTTGTTACATTACTATTAAATACAGCATAAACTATATTCAACAAACACAATTTCAAAAAGGATAATATAGAAGTTAACCTTTATTTTCCATTTTTAAGCAGCTGTGCCTCTCATGACTTTCCAAAACAGGTCATATTCGTAGCCTAAGAACCGGTCATACTCAATATACGCGGATACTCTAGTATCCCGTGGTCATTGATATAACATGAAAACAAATCATTTTTGTCTTTTTTCACGCATTTCTACATATTATATTCATGAAATGTAATGTAAAATGTACTTTAGGTATGTAATACAACAATTATGTCCGTATCATCGAATATATGCCTTCGGTCTGTCGTAAATATAACCCTCGCAAGCTCGGGCTATATTGACGTCAGACCTCAGGCATATATTCAATGATAGGGACATAATGGCTAGAATACTTACTAATATATATAAAATATAATACTAATATCACATTTTCCCAATGTTCAATATGAATGAAACCCAACTCACACTATTTGTGGATGTATCAAATAAATGATCTTAAGAATTATGATCTAAACGTTACGAAGTAGTTTAACAAATGGTATACAAAGGCCAAATTACTGTATTTTGATATTGGATCTCCACTTGGCCTTTTCCATATACTGTTAATGGAAAAATAGATGGCATCATGGGTATTGGTAGGGCTAGGGTAGGGCTAGAATATATAGCATTGTGCACGGATTTAGCCCGACCTTTTTTAGACTCTAGAAAATCATTAGAATTTGAATAATGATGCAAATCAAAGTTGTTTTGATAAAAAATTACACACAAAATTCAAATATGGCATCATATAGAAGAAAATGTTAGTCTTTAATGGTTAAAAATGCAGATCTCCTAAAATCTCATTAAAACGAGACTTTAACGAGATTTCAAAGCTATATGGAAAAAGGACCATTGGATACTTGTATGTTACTAATTTCATTTTAATATTTTAAAATCGTTTCATCAACTCCAGCTTCCTATCAGAAGAACGCCATTCTAACTGCAATGGAGGAGATACAAATTAAATCAGGGGGAGCGACCTCCAAATGTATTCAATTCATCCCGAACGATGGGAATTCACGGGACCATTTATTGATAAAAAGTACATCACCATCGTAAGTATATAGTATATACCTTTTGGTAAATAATACCTAAGTATGCAGAATTAAATTATTTTATGTCGAACTGAAACCAATAAAATGTAGGTTTCACACTCACTGGTATGATAATTTAAAGCATGCATTGGCGAAGTGTAATTTACTACATTTTTTATTGAAGAGAAATAAATGTTGAGTTTAGTTCTTACCAAATTAGTATTTTATTCTCCAGGTGTGTGAGCAGCGGAGTAGGTAAAAGCAAGAGGTATAATTCGTATTACATCAACCTTGGCTTCAGGTGCTTCGCATTTGGTACTATCATGCACGAATTGCTTCACGCACTTGGGTTTTTCCATGAACATACCAGGAACGATCGTGACGATTACATTGAAATTGTCGAATCAAACATCAAGAGTGGATTCAGTTCTAATTTCGCGAAGCAAGAGAATCCAGATACTCTCATTAGCTTTACACCTTATGATTACAACAGTATCATGCACTATGGCAAATATGCATTTTCCAAGGACGCATATGCAGGATTGGAGACAATACGTGTAAAGAAATTCACTAATTTCCAAATTGGCCAGCATTATTACCTCTCTGAAAGTGATATTAAAGATTTACAGACTTTGTATTCCTGCCCTGATATAGGTGGGTTGTTTTCATATATGTTTGTTTAATTTTTGTTTCTCATTCCTCATGTATTTTGAGCTAACTCCTCTGTTTGGTTCCAGGAAAACCACTTGACAGATTTACTTCAAATTTTCACACATGTTACATGGTAAGAGGTTCTAGAGCTGATTAACTTTTGGGCGGCCATCTTGCATTCTGGCGGCCATCCTTCATTTTTCATTCCACATTTCTCGTTACTGAATCCATTAGGTTACTACTTACTATTCTATGCGCAAATTGTTATGAAGTTATAAAAACACCCGTTTTTTCAGAAACCTACCGTAAGAACTCCCGTTTTTCCGAAATCTACCGTAAAAACTCCGGTTCTTTCAAAACTTACCGTAAAAACTCCCGTTTTTTCAAAATCTAAAGTAAAAACTCCCGTTTTTTCAAAATCTAAAGTAAAAACTCCCGTTTTTTCAGAAATCTACCGTAAAAATTCAAGTAATATAATTGTTATAAAGTCGTCTTGTACTGATTGGCGTGTGTGAGGTTTTTCTGTGTGGGCTTTCAGAAAATGCTGTATCATCAGGCCTTTAGGAAGATGGCATTTTGATTACTTTTTATATTATGATTTCAGGAGTTACCCGTCGTAAGAGGGCCGCTACTTCCCTTAGTGAGTACCATTTCATATAACAATTTGGTAATCATAAATGTATCTGGAGTTTGGATCATATGACTCCAAATTCCAAATAGAATAATTGGGGAGAATTACTACCGTGGCAGAATTTCCCTTTAAATTTAGAATTTTCTTGTATTATCAAATGCAAAACAAATGTCGAGCTTTTATGCATTTATTTTCTATTTCAGACTATGTTTGTACTTTCGAAGCTGATGATTTAAAATGTGGATTTGTAAATGAGCATCCGTCTATCTGGAAGTCGACACCCGTGTCGAGTATAGGTTCAGAATATTATGATGCCACCTTCAACTTCCCTTATCAAAATATAGGTAAGTTGAACTTTAATGACTCCAAAACTACAAGGCATAAACGCAAGGGCTCAAGTTCATGAACTACTTATCGCTATTTCAGGATCGTCACAGCAAACTACCAATCATTCACCAGCATAAAGACATCCGGCTTCTTCTTTGCACTTTATAATATTTGATACATCACTTCAACATTTTCAGGTAATGTGCTGTACATGGCGCCTGGGAGTGCCACCACCGAGGCCTTGTTCACCGCTAATGTTCCACCTGCCGCATATTGCCTTCAAATCTACTATTTTTGCCACGGGACAAACAGCAAGGCACAAGTCTACGCTGGCTTGAATGGTACAAAGAAGCTGCTTTACACATTACCATCCTGTACATATTTCAAGTGGTATTACACCTGGATCGGCGTTGATATGTCAACTTCTGGAACGGTATGTTCTGTTTTGTAATCAAGACACTATACTTCATTTTTATGGAAACGTGTACGTGAACGGGAATGCTTATGGTCCCTTTGGATATGCTCTCTCCTTTTAGTATTTACTTGCCTGACTTATAATTAACGGTATAATGGAAAGTACCAGTTCAAATGAGGACAGTAATACCAGATGATCATAACACACGTACACGTTCTTTAAAGAACATGCGCTTGCCCTCCCAATTTAAAAAAATAAAACAATCTCGACTTTTATGATTTTATAGATGAGTTTCATGGATAGAGTGCGCCAATCTTGACAAAAAAAACAATCTGACTGCATTGTTGTAATTTAGTATTGCGGGTCACGTTTGACTTCTAAAAGAAGCACAAATAGCTGTAACAATTTAGTTGTAGTAACTATAGTTGCAACATTATAAACAATACCTTTTGAACAACCTTTATATAGTAAACGTATAATACCCACTTATCAATCAAGTCAACTTTGTTTTAACCACATATTCCGGAAATAACATAATTTAATGATGCGTTATCCTTTTTTAATTGTCTTGTTTTTAGATTGAGATACATGGTATACGTGCAAACGTTGGACATTTTCTGTTAGACGAGATTAAGCTTATGGAAAAACCAGCTAACCGGAAAGACTGTAACCAATAAGTGTGCTTACAACAATTACAAGCACTATTGTTACCTAGGAACCATAAATAGTGGAATTGACCATGTGTATATGTATATTTATCTCATTTTCAAAATCATAATTGGCTTGCACTTTTGAGTTTAGTTTATTACACTATAATGTTACGTTCGATAATAACAGAAAGTAAAAACAGCAATTAAAATATAACAATATACAGTACTATATTTTTAACAACAGTGCCATACTTTGATCAACTTTAAACTTTTGACTATTTATACATTACAGTGCCTTAAATCACCTTATATATTAAATAAGGGTTACTATATCTACCTTACGGACCGAAGGGATCGAAGGTAGATGTGCATATCTCACGAGGGATAAACCCCATATCCAAACCGATCGCACTTAACTGCCTTCACCTAAAATTTTCAATTTTTCCAAAATTTTCACATTTTTCAAAATTTAAAAAAATTCTTAATTTAACTCTCAATTCTTAATTTTATCAAAAATGTATTTCAATTTTTTTAAAGCGGGAGATTTGGCGGGAGAAATAGAAATTCTGGATATGAAAACCTCAAAAATAGGATACGGGATATATCTTACCAACTTTTCTCCCTAAAACTCCTCTTGACATAGGATAAGTAACCATATTTTGATATATCCATGTTACAACTTTACCCGGTGTAAAAGGGTAGGAGGTCCTATCAAATTATTGTCATACTCCCCCTTTATAATGGTAACCTAAATACAACTCTTTCCCGCATTATCTTATACACAATAAGGCCAGTAAGGGCCGTTAAGAAAGGGGACCATAATCCCTTGGCGACCATCATTTCTTTCACACCGGGTTTATGTGGCCCCTATCCCCCCAGGGGGAGTAAGTCACCCCCCCCCCCCTCTAGCTATTATACCACTGTTTTAATACAGAGAATATGTAAGAAGTAGGGGTGACTTACTCCCCGCGTATTCCTTCGAGATATAATCGTACTTAGATTTGTAGATGTTGATATTATGTGATGATACATTGACGTTTTCATTTCTGGTCATTGAATAAGTACGGATTCAACATTCTGATTTATCAGAGTCCCTCTTTACCTACGGTCAAGACAAGTAACTTAGTCAACATTCGATATTCGTATGTTCATCAATATTTACTAAGAATGGTGCCACAATTGAAGTAAACCTCTGGTTAATTATTTTCAATAATCCTATCCGCAAACGTGTAAATGATAATTTTGATGTTCTGTTACAAATTGGTGAAGCAATCTTTGGGATATGACCTAAATTTCTGATTTTCCACTGTGTCCCTGTATACTCCTACTTCAAAAGATATATGTTATTCGTCATTTTTCATTATGAACCAACCATAAATGTATTTTTTCTTGTTTACATACACAATGAACTTTCAGTTTTCAAATATTGCAAGACGGTACTGCATTTATTTGTTCAGGATATCGAGCAAACAAATGCTTGTCAATTTACACTGTAATATCCCACACACTTATATTTCAAGGGTAGTTTTGAAGAATAATCAAGAAAATCTATGTTTTCAAATAGATTCATCCTTGTCAAACTACGTGAATGAGAATATGCCGTTTGAAAAACTCACAACATGTTTTAAGTTCTTACAATTCTTGGTTAAAAAAAATAATTTGAAAGTTGTGATTTCGAATGTAATATCCTACTCAATGAAATTTGTTGATATTTGTGATTTTTTTTCTTTTGAAATGCACATTGCTGGATAACAGAACCTTGCCACGTTCGAGATGCACGAAAAGTGTTTTGTTAATACTTGACGTCGTACGGATATTTGGATGTGATTGACGTTTTCGGTAATCTCCTACCACTGTAATTTCCAACTTAATATTTGGAAGCCAAATGTGATAGTCACGAATTGTTATTTAAGTCACACGTTGATGCATACATCATGTGCGTACATTAACTGTCGAATACATGCCAACTTACATTTATATAAATATCCACAATTAACTCAAATCATCAATTCTCGAAACGGTTTATTATTTAACCTGGTGAATTGAATGTTTCATTTTGATTCATAATTATGGTATCGGATTTGAGTTTGATATAAGTCGAGGCTTAAACAAAGGAATAAAATTACGTGAAACCTTTTGTGAAAATTCGAACGATTTTTCAAGAATCCTCCTTCAAAGTGATACCAAAGTGCTCCCCGGGAGTGGAAATTTCGTCTTGTGTAATCAAAATAATAGAGCGGGTGGTTTGAATTTTTGTTTGAGTTTATAGTTTACATCTATAAATTGAAAAACATATCGCCTAATTGAGAGGCACATGCATATTTTGGCGATCTATCATTATAAAGGGCTAAATATTGTGCAAAAACAGGAGTTGACACGCTTACATTTGGAAATAAAATTTCCTACATAATCGTCGACTCATGTTTAAAAGTCATGAAAACAAGGTTGAACACAAAACATTGACCCAGTTACTGTCTATTCAGCATGGGTTCACGAAGGGAAATATTATTAATGACTTAAATCGTTTACAGTTAAGTTGTATTCCAAGAAACTTATCAATTTAGAAATGCAAAATGTTCAATTTTGTTTTTCAATTATAAAAAATGGCACCTGAAGAGAACAACGTTTTCAAAATTTTTAAAACGGAGATATTAACTTATGCAACATTCATTGGCATGTGTCAGGGAGTAAATAGGAAGAATATGCATTTGATTCTATATCTTGTTCCCAAAGGAGTTTGTTAAGGAGCGGTATATCTTAACGTACTTTTATCATCCCGAACTCAAACATTTCGAATACTTATTTCTAGAACGCTTTGTTGAGAATGGATTCGAGATGTACTCAAAATTAGTGCGTTAAAATGTGTATTATCATCTAAATAACCACCTCACAAATTATTTTGGAAATCAAAGATGTACGAATTTTGAGATTTTTATTTTCGAATGTTGACTTACTTACTTGGCTTGACTGTCTAACGCTTTTGAGAAAAAGGATAGTAAAGGCTGTGGATCCCACAATGCGGATTCAACGTTCAATTAAAGTTCAGAAATACTGTTACACAACCAAACATTAATTCTATTTTCATGAATAAAATTAAATCAGCGCGGTACTTTGTTTACTTATAAAAGTTGTGTTCAATTCTTCTATACAATAGAATCTATTTACTCTCCTTTGTGTTAGCTTTAGTCTCGAAAATGAGCTTAATTAAATATTTAGAGTAAGCGAACCAATAACCAGTGCTTTGCTATGTAGACGTCCTGAAGGAACATGCAAACCCCGAAAACATCTTGCGTGATAATACGAATGTATTGATTATGTTTAACAGTAAATGCGATCGGGTCATGGACGTTCGATGTGAATGAGTTACAATGACATTAACAGGTATAAAGGAAAAGTGGAATAAACAAATTAGGATTAGCAGGTACTGTGGGATAAACAGCTTTCCAACAAAAGGCAATTGTATTTGACTTTGTGACGGTGCCAAGTTCGTACGGTACTTGGTACTGGATAAACACATGAATGACATGTAGTCTAAGTTATCGAGCAGTAAATTGACGATGACATTCAACGAAACGTTAAAACGCAAAGAAGTCATTTTATGACGCACGAACTCGGATTTTTGAAATGTCAAAAGTTGAAATTAGGACCTCATAGATCAAAATCAAAGTGATAATGTTGACATTAACAGATAAAAAACTAAAGGAGAGGGAGGACAGGAAGTTTCATGATATGATGAGATTAAAAATGCACAAATATGAAACAAAAAACAAAAAGGACTCTGGTTACAATGGAGTTGCCAAAGACATGACGAAGGTTCTTCACAGAAACGCATTTGTACAGCGTGACTTGGAAAGGAAAGAATTGCAAATTCATAAACAAGAAAAAGATCGAATTAGAGAAATTCGTAAAGTTCAAAGTGACTTCCAGAAAACTATGAGAAAACTACGTAAGGCAACACCAAGTGTAGGCTCGAACTTTTTTCAACGACATACAGACAGTGAAAAGCAAAGTAGAGACTTGTCATTAAAAATGATGGAGACGCTCAAATCTACCCGAGAACTTGATTCACCAAGTTCAAATAAACATAATTCAGAAATATCGCATTCAGATCGTAATCCGGAACATTTGGGTAAATATCGTAAGCCAATGTCTTTACCGAGTCATGACGTGCCGGTGGAGGACGACTCGGGAACCGATAGCCCTGTAAACATCAGTGGAACCGACCATAGCCCAGTTCTTCGACGACAATACAGCCCAACATGCCTAACTTCACCCCCTCTTGTGTTACCTCCATTGCCATATAGCCCAGGCATGACCACAGGCGCTACGAGAGATATCCATGAACTGGACGATCCTGATGAACAAAGTGACCTCAAATTTCGCAGACGATTGCTTGGAAGGAGGAGGAGTCAATCGGCGTGCAATCTGAGCAGTATACCACGCACAGAGCGTCAAGGACTGCCTAGCGTTTTCGTATTACCCCCCATTTCACCAGATTTCGGACATTCTCAAAATGATGATAGAAATGATTCGACCAGCGACAGAGTAACAAATCAATTTCATTCCTTGAATTTGAAGGAAAAGAGGAGACTCAGTATATCTGCGTCCCATATTGACCAAATTGGATTTGAAAGCTCCGCGAAGCTTGATCAGGCAGACGATGGATCGTCTGAATCTGAATCGATTGTATCTTCCGACGATTCTGACGTAGACGATACGATGTCAGCCGAAGAATCGGAAAACATGTTAATGTTGTACCAACGAGGGGGGTCATTCAGCAGACGGCGAAGTTCGTCTGCTCCTGAACTTAGAGAAGGGAGACCAGAAAGGGTGCCTTCCGCACGAAGAAATGCAGTAATTTCATCAAAAAGTTTAAGGGTGGTTTCAAGAACCGGCCGACGTCATCGCCGTGGACCCTACACAACATGTGATTCATAACCGATTCATAATACTGAATCAGCTTATCGATTCAATCATTTATTTTATTTTTTTTTTTTTTTTTTTTTTTATATATAGATATTTATTTCTCCTTTCTAGATAACATATTAACATAACATATTCTACATTGGAATTATCAAATGTATAGAGATTTTCTTGATAGTAGTCTTAAAACTTCGAGCTTAGAAAGTGAAATAATGTTATTCCTCAAAAACTACTGGAATTCCAGATAGATAGAGTTCTCAAAATTTTCACAGTCTTAACTCAACCATTTTTGACAAGAATCATTTGCATCCCTTCATCTGGATCACTACTTGCAAATATGTCCCTATTTAGTCCAATTAACATTTAAATCAATCAATAGTACTTGGCACTATTTGTTATATATGTTCACGTTCCTATTTCCGTATTATTCCGTTCATATTCATCATTATGTAGTCATTGACATCACAACATTACATATAATCCTCTCCGATCTTATCAATGAAGCGCATATACCTCCCTTCACATGTTGCCATACTGAAGTTTGTTAGCGCTGCAACATCGCATGTCGTATCAGAATCTGTGTTTGTTTCTTTGGTATCTTTATCAATTTTGCACTCAGTTGATTTGTTGTCCATCTGTTTCTTAATATTTACATTGCAGCCTCTGTTTTCTGTCCATATTGTCTGTTTTAGTTGCGACATGTTTCATCTTAAGTTCTGTTGCACAAGACTGGTGTCTCTTCACTTTATTATCCGTTTGTGTACTTGTGTTTACTTTGTTGATTCTGTCCTGGGGAGTCTGTAATAATGAAGTAAATCCACTGTCTTCTGTATTTGGTGAATTCTCTGTATCAGTGTTATTGTTTACAATTTGACTGTTATCAGCATTGATAAACACATCATCACTATATGTATTTTGACCAGGTTTCACAGGTGTTGACTGTTCATGTAATCCTATTTGTTCATGGTTTAGAACACTACTCACTATTTTTTTACTGGTATTGAAAGCACTAATCCTATTTGTGTCTCTCATTAGCCTACTTGGTGATTTGCTTCTAGTTTCTGAACTTGGGTCACCAAGATGGTGTACTACATATTGCAATGTGATAGATGTTCCATTGTTTGTTGCATTTATCTTATATCCTCCGAGGATGCACCCTTCTTCTTGTAGTTCACTGATCAGATGCTCCACTATCTTAGGAATCATTGTATCTCAATATATTTCTTATAATGTTCTTTATTTCACTGACTTTTACTATCTTTTACGAGCAAATTTTTTCCTGCTTTTCAGTTTACCACTTGAACTCTCAATTCAATCATTTATAGCATTGGAACAAATTATACATTATAAAGAAGTTTAAAGGAATATTCCTTGCCAAACCATCTCTCTCCTCATATGGTAGCTATAACCATATATATGCTTGCCATGTTTAGCAAAACACGCAAAAATGTTTTGATATGGTCAAATTTGATCACTTAGAAATGTGATGCTCAATTCCAGTAAGCTGCCATCTTTTAAAATTGCACACAGGAAGTGATGTCATCGACTCTCAACTTTGCATATAGCATTAGGTGAGGAGCTATTAAGAATTACAAAACCAGCTAAATATTCTTTTTTAACTTTGTATCTTATTTAATCCTTCTGAAAATCTCTTCTTTTATTCTAAGTTGACAAGCCCTGAAAATATTTTTGCATAGAAAGTAATGATCACTTGTCTAGAAGTGATTTTGTGCTACTTTCCTATACTGTTATGGGCAAGGTTATAGAAGTTGAGAGTTGATGACATCACTTCCTGCAAGAAATCTTAAAAGATGGCAGCTCACTGGAAATAAGCACTAGATTTTTAAATGATCAATATTGACCACATTAAAACATTTTCCCATGTTTTGCTAAATATGGAAACTATATATATGATTATAGCTACCATATCAAGAGAGAAAGGGTCTGGCAAGGAATATTCCTTTAAACTTGTTGAGGAGACGTCATTGAGTGAAGTATGTATACTGTCTAAACATCCATTTATATTTACGTAAGGTTTCGTCGAAACAAGGATTTTAAACATGAATTGTTGGAAAAGGTTAGGTCATTTGACTTCTGTTTTTCCCAAAAAATGTCACTCAAAACGTTCTTATATCACAACGATATAGCCCAAGGTACAACATTACAAAGCACGCCAAAATGTATGTATTAAGTCAATAGCTCATATCATGCAAATGTTTATTGTTAATTATGCTGTTACTTTTTATTGAGATCGACTTCAGCTTGAAATATTTTAGAAATGTCTATTTATATCCTTATTCCCGACATTTTGTCCTATTTTCCCGATGATACATTCAAACCTGGGGACAAATAGCGTCATTCATTTGTTAAACAAATACAATATAATAAGATTCAAAATGTATAAATTTATTCAGATATTCACTTTTTACAGCGACACTCTTACAATTAAGGAGCACTCTATAGAAAGTTATGTTTAGGCTAACGATATATGTACATGTATGTAGGACCACATCACATTTCCACCAAACTAAATGAATCTAAAATATTAAAATATAAGTATGTTAATATTACTCGAGACCATCATTAAAAGTCTCATGTATTACTCAAAATCTTGTTTAAAAGAAAGAGTAAAATAAAAAATATATTTCAACAATTACATTCTGGTTATCTTGAGATGACATCAATTCATATACAAAAAATAAATCACTGAAATTGGATTTTTTTGTAATTGCTTATTCAATAACGTGGGACGTGCAGTGTATTTTCTCTACGTTTAATAAATTTTGAGACCTTAAAGAAGATTTGTTATGTTATATTTATTTTCATACTATAATTATTACAATTTGAATAACATTTGAATGACAATTTAATAACATCTTTTGAATTTGTTATTCAAATTGTAATAATTAATGAAAATAAATATAAGATAACATAACAAAATCAAGAAGATTTGGGATTTATTTTGACTTTATTATCATGAAATTAATTTCATTTTCACACAAATTCCCATGTATTTTATGGTTGTCTTAAGACACATCATTTCAAGAAGTAAGGACAGATCCCATAGGCTCACTGTGTGATCCAAAAAGTTATCGAAAACATCCACAAACCTCTAAGGAATGATTTTAATATTTGATACTGAGATGAATAAAGGTGTGTCTTTCCACACGGTATTAACATGCAAAATGTCACCACTTGCCATTTGCTACAATCGTTTTAGACGCTGATCGTCGAACTCCGAACAGCAACAGCCATCAACAAAAAAAGGTGGAGACTATAACAATTTGTCACCACTTTACAAGTTCTCAGGAGTCCACATCTGACCTCAAATTTGAGATTTGAACGAAATACTCAATCGGCCGGGCGCCAGCCGGTGAATGGGGGCACATGTGACCTAGGCATTAGTCAGTGTTTTATACCATAGTTTAGTTTATGTAATTTTCACCTGGGCAACAAACTAAGCTGTCCTGATCTCACCCTGTATCTGGGATTATTAACATAGTGTACGTCATGTAATTCAAATTTGAGCAACAAACTCAGCCATCACACCCTGTATCTGAGATTAAAATACATAACTATTTACTAGCATGAAAATTGAAAACACATTCCCTATGTTAATATGCCACTACATAGTGTACATGTAATTCAAATTTGAGCAACAAACTCAGCCATCACACCCTGTATCTGAGATTAAAATACATAACTATTTACTAGCATGAAAATTGAAAACACATTCCCTATGTTAATATGCCACTACATAGTGTACATGTAATTCAAATTTGAGCAACAAACTCAGCAATCACACCCTGTATCTGAGATTAAAATACATAATTATTTCCAAGCATGACAACTGGAAACACATTCCCTGTGATAATATGCCACTACATAGTGTACATGTAATTCAAATTTGAGCAACATACAGTATTTACAAGCATGAAAATTGAAAACACCATCTCACTGTTAATATGCCACTACATAGTGTACATGTAATTCACATTTGAGCAACAAACTCAGCCATCACACCCTTTATCTAGGATTTAAATATACAATAACCATTTACAAGCATAAAAAGTTCCCTGTTTTAATATCCCATTACATACTGTACATGTAATTCACATTTGAGTAACAAACTCAGCCATTAAACCCTATATCTGAGATTAAAATACAAAATTATTTACAAGCATGAAAATTGAAAACACCTTCCCTGTGTTAATATGCCACTACATAGTGTACATGTAATTCACATTTGAGCAACATACTCAGCCATCACACCCTGTATCTGGGATTAACATACAAATTTAAAAGCATGAAAATTGAAAACACCTTCTCTGTGTTAATATGCCACTACATAGTGTACATGTAATTCACATTTGAGCAACAAACTCAGCCATCGCACCCTTTATCTGGGTTCTGATATCAAGGAACCCAACACTGTTACCAAACTCTTCAATCAATTTGTCAATTTCTGCATGCTTCACCAAGTTCTGATTAAGATTCAGATATTCCATAAGACGTTTTCCATGCAGCTTGTCGCTCATTTTTTTCATTCCTTTTGCAAGAGTCCACGCATCTTCAGTATTGATCCCATTGTGAGAGAATTTGACAAATTTAAAAAAGGCAGCATGGTTCGCAATTCGGAATTCAATTATCGCAAGGAAGAGCTTGAGTACTGAACCTCCCAGAGGATTGTTGGAGATATCCAAATAACCCAGATTCGCATGCTCTCCAATTTTTTCTGATAAATCTTCAAATTCATTTTGCGCAAATCTGCTCAAAGAGCAGTCCCTGAGTGTGAGAGATTCTAATGAGGGGTTATACTCCACTATCCTCAAGACATGAACCCACTTTAGATCAAAAGAATCTAATGTTAAAGCAGTTAAGTTTGGAAGAGTCGTATGGTTAATTAAACTGGTTAATTCCATGATTTCGATCCATCGGCAGCCTGACAACGACAATATTTTTAAGTTTGAAGAATGTTTAATCAATGCACATACAACCTTGAAATTAGTGCATTTGGAGCGTCCATATGCACCAATGTCTATGTAAGCGTATGTACTTAGAGATTTGAGATTGTATGTATCCACTGTGATGTCTCCTTTGGAATCTATTGTGTATAATACAGTTGGTATGACACCATTGAGGTTAAGCTTGACACAAAGATGAGTCAGAAGTGTTGGTTTCTGGCTTGCCAGTCTAGCATTCACAGGAAGGGATACATTTTCACCAAGCGATGGATCACTGTATTTCTGAAAAAATATCAACAATTTTCATTGGTAATTTGAACAGCTCAAATAATTATTTCAACAAAAGTACCAAAAAATAAGTATAGGATATCCTATGATTTTGAGAGATATCATTTTTATCCACGAGTTGAAATCAATATCTGGACAAGTGAGCGTAGCGAAAGAGTGCAAATTTTGGTATCAACGAGTGGATTAAAATGAAATCATAAAAAAATCATAGGATGTTCTATTTAACCCATAGTTGAGGCCAAATCATCCCATAGCTCACCTTACAAAGCATTTCAAAACAACATTTAGTTTAATTTTTGTCATTTGAACTATAACCAAAACATTAGTCATTTCAATATTTGTGAAATGACCATGCAAGCATATAATATGTAACAATTTAACAATGCACGTCACATTGGCCGGAGTTTTCAAATCCGTGGAAAACGTGATATCTGTGGAATATTCTCCATATTCCACAGATATCACGTTTTCCACGCATTTGCAAAATATCATAAATATACAGGGTGGTCCAAAAGAAATTGGAACATTTGTTAATTGAACGCAAAACCTTTATTTTTCTTCTTAAATGTACCAAACTTTTACTGAGCATAGTTCAGTCACTTGTTTATCTATGTCTATGTCTATGTCAATAATCCGCAAAAGGCTAATAAGCCCATATAAAGCAGATATATAATTTAACAGTGATAGAATTTGAATAGAATATAATTTAAAACCTTAACATTTAAAAATAGATCTATGGTTTACAACTCATTTTACCTGGGGAGACTGTCAGGCTACCGCGTTGACATCACCCCTCTTTACCAGTAGTGCAGGCTTGTTGCTGTGCACTGGGGACCCTTTACATTAAAACATAGATCTATATTAAAAACACACCTATTTAATTGCAGTTATTGACATAGGCATAGTATGATGATTTAAAACTACTTAGACTGTCACAGTCTAAGATGTCACCAGGTAGAGTGTTCCATTTAGCTATTGTCCTAGGGAAATAGCTAAATTTGTATGCATCCGTTCTAGTTGATGGTTGTATGAACTTAGTAGGATGATACAACCTAGTGTTGGTATTGATCTGTTGGCGGAAGTATGGAGGCACGTTGATGGCTGCTAGGTTCTGCTTTCCTTTGTAGAAAAGGAAAACTCTAGCAGCCTCTCGACGCTCCTTCAGTGGCTCCCACTGTAGGTCTTGAAGAGCTTTGGTGACGCAGCCTGGTTCCCTTGAGTGACATTTGGTTACAAACCTGGCTGCTCTTCTCTGTACCTGTTCCAACATATCAATATCTTTTTGTCGGTATGGATCCCATGCCGAGCTGGCATACTCTAAATTAGGCCGGACTAGTGACTTATACGCCTGAGCCTTCACTTTTTCAGGGCATTGATGGAGGTTGCGCCTGAGAAATCCAAGCACCTTATTGGCTTTGGATACAATAGTTTGAATATGTGTAGTCCAGCGTAAGTGATGTCAATTCCTAGGTATGGGATGTGTGTTACCGACTTAAGGTTTTCCCCTAGCATGGTGTAATTGTGCATGATAGGGGATGGAAAAGTCTAATACCAACATGTCTGTTTGTTTATTGTTGTCGAGGGCCCGAGCTATATTCTCTATTGTATTGACAAGTTGTGTTTCACATGAGTGCTTTGACCTGAATCCATGTTGGAATTTTACTAGAATTTCATAGAGGTCAAAGTGGGCCATAACATGATGGAATATAATATGTTCCATTATTTTACATGGAACTGACGTCAGAGATACAGGCCTGTAATTCACAGCCTCATCTCTTCGTCCCTTTTTGTAGATAGCAGTAACATTGGCATGTTTCCAGTCCATAGGCACTAAGCCTTCATCGATAGACTGTTGAAAAATTATTTGAAGGAATGGTGATATGCTGTCACTGCATTCCTTCAGGACCCTAGTCTAACCCCACCTCCCCCTCTGGCACCTAATCTGATGTAAAGTTTATAGGCGAAAACCTCAAAGTTAATGCATTAAACTAGTCGATATTTGATATGACCCCTCTTCTCCTGACTTACAAGTTGAAGCCTGGGGCTCAAATTTGTAAATATTCAATTAGTTTGCTGTTCGTTTGTTTTGTCCAAGCCATCTCAATTAAAAATTTCAGCTTGATCAAACTTCCTATTTGTTTGCCTTGGAAGATCAAATCTAGTAACATATTTAACATTTTTTACCCAAATTCATGAGTATCAAGCATATTTTGATGGCTATTGTTGGGTGTATTACTGATTGAATATTCTCCAGAAAGAGGCCAGGGCAGTCTGATTTGACTGGTAAATGAAGCCCCCGCCCCTTAATTGTTCTGATATGAATGATATCCATTGGATATATCAATGTCTATCAATATCATAGAGAGAACACAAATGGTATACAGGGCCGTCAGATGGGGGGGGGTGCGATGAGTGCGACCGCACCCCCCTTTGTCACCCCCCCAAAAAAATTGAAAAAAATGTTTGAAAATTTTTTTTATTCATTTACTCATACACTTTGAAAGTACCCAGAAAGCACCAAATAGCATTTTAAAATTGTAACATTTTCTAGATGTATTGGCCACCCCTCACACCCCCCACAAAACAATGGAAAGTTCTTAATTTATTTTAGTGTTTTGTCTCAGACACTTTTAAAGTGCACAGACATCATCAAATAGCTCCTTGATACAGTTAGTGTTTCTGGGGGACTAACACTTGCTCCCCTCTTGCATCTTGCACTTGCATCCCCACACCACCTCCCCACCACCTCTGGAAAAGTTCTGAATTTGTTTTATGTATTGTCTCAGACACTTTTAAATTGCCCAGACATCATCATTGATATAGTTAATTATTCTGGGAGACTAACACTTACTCGCCCTCTGGCATCCCCACTCCACCTCCACCTCTGGCATCTCCCTTGACACCCCCCCCCCCCAAAAAAAAACTATTGAAAAAGAAATTATGATTTTTAAAATTTTTTATTGACTTTGAAAGTGCCCAGAAAGCACCAAATAGCATCTTAAAATTGTAAAAATTTCTTGGGAATTAGGCACTTTTAGGCACAGACACTTCACCAGACTTCATCGAATAGCACCTTGATATTGTAAATGTTTCTGGGAGACAGATATGGGGGACAAACACTTGCTCCCACTCTGGCACCCCAACCCCACCTCCCCCTCTGGCACCCCTCCCTCCGCTTTGACACCCCCAAAATTTGAAAAAATTATGATTGTTTTTCAATGTTTTTATTGACTAATACACTTTAAAAGTGCCAAAAACCACCAAATATTATCTTTAAATTGTAAAATTTTCTAGGAGAGTTAGCCACCCCTCACATCCCCAACAAAACAAAAGAAAATATTCTGAATTTCATGTATTGTCTCAGACATTTTTTAAGTGCCCTGAGACATCATCAAATAGCACCTTGATATGGTCAATGTTTCTGGGCGACAACCCCTTGCTCCCCCTCTGGCACCCCACCCCACTTCACCCTCTCATCCTTTTTGACACCCCCAAAAGAAATTGAAAAAAAATTCACATTTTTCGTATTGACTCATACACTTAAACTCCCGTGCAGTGATATATACCGATACACTGCATGGGAGTTCGTCATACACTTTGAAAGTGCCCAGAATGCACCAAATAGCATCTCAAAACTGTGGGGGAGTGGACCACTCCTCCCATCCCCCCCCCCCCACAAAACAATTGGAACGTTTTGAAGTTAAAATTGTTAATTCCAAACCGATATAGGGAGTAACCGAGTAACGACCCCCCCCCCTGACTTACGCTATTTGGTTTACGCAGCAATAAAATTGACAATTTTATATTCTCTTTACTAAAAACCGCACCCCCCTTGGAGAAAAGTGTCTTACGGGCATGGTATATTATATATATATTATACACTGTATGTGTGCTTAGCATTGGTTTTTAATGTGAATAACTGGCCATGGTCAGTTTTGCCTTTACTGAAAAGTGGGAACAATTCTTTTGTCACTTGAGTAGCTGTGAGGGTTATGCAATCGCTCACCTCTGACATGTTCCTTTTTCCCTACTCTTAAATGAAAATGATCATTTTGGGTATTGTTTAAGTTTAAGTTAAGGTGACTGTTAACTTAATCGATTTTCAGAAAAAATTGAAAATTTCACAATCTTGAAATTTTCAAACTCTTCCTGAGAAGTCGTTTTTATTATTTCACATATGCTTGTGCACTGTAATCATTACAAAGACATCAAAGAACAACAAAAAACTTTAGTTTGAGAAAAAAAGTGCTGTTTAAAGAATTTGAGAAGATTTTTTTTCTAGGAGTAGCCTGTGAAAAACCGCTGATTCAAAATATCTGAACATTTCAGAAATTATACTTCAAACATATATCAAAAACGAAGGAGCAACGGAAATTTGAAAAATTACCCGATAAAAAAATTGGGATCAAAATAAGGAAAAAAGTTCACTTCTCAAATTGTTTTTTTCTATTTTTTTTAATTTGTATGAGAGATTTCAAAATTCTAAAGCTCCTTCCATTTTGGGCTATATTAAAGCAGTGATCTCCCCAGTATTTTTTCTCAGGTGGGTGCAAAATTCTCATTTTTACAATATAGACCAAAATTGGTCAAATTATGCCAATTTTTCATGATTTTTCTCATTTTCAAGTGGGTGCAAATGGATTCTCAGATGGGTGCAAGTATATTTTCAAAATCTCAGGTGGGTGCTGCGCCCACTTGCTTTAATGCTGGGGAGATCACTGATTAAAGGGATGTTTCAGAGAAATTAGAAAAAAAAATGTTCAGGGACCTTTGCCGTGCTACTCTTTTTGTCAATTTTTCTGTCACATTTTCAGAGGACTCAAATTCCCATTCCAAAATATTTACTGTTTCTATTTGCATTACCACAGTGAGCCTGGTTATATAAATGATAAGTGGAACTAAAAAATTGAGAGAAAATCCAACCAAAAGACAGTTAATTTTGATGGTCAGATTATACTCAAATGCCATGTGCTTCCTGGTTTTGGCCATCTTGGATTTTTTGATTAAGTTATAAGTTACCTTAACACAATATTTTTCTGGCAAACCCCAGATGTAAATACTCTTTGTCAACTGAATATGATTTTATAAAATATTTATAGCAATTAACATGTGCATTAAAGCTTTGAAATAAATAATACTTGAAAAAGTAGCCGCGGAATTGACAAATGTATATTTAAGAAAAGGGGGTCCTATCAAACATTGACTAGTTTAATGCATTAACTTTGTGGTTTTCACCTGTAAACTTTACATCAGATAAATAAGTGATTGAACTATGCTCAGTAAAAGTTTGTCACATTTTAGAAGAAAAATAAAGGTTTTGCGTTCAATTAACAAATGTTCCAATTTTTTTTGGACCACCCTGTATATACGTGTTATTCTACAGATTTGACCTCAACTATGGGATAAACAATTCTATCCCATGAAATAGTTGATGTATGATATTATACAGCTTGAGACATTTAACTACTAGAATAGTAGACCCTTTAAAGGAGAACCCCCGATAAGGAGAGCTTTTTTAGAAGGACATTGCTTTTTTATTCTGGATGTGATCATCATGGAAATTTAACACATCAGAGATTTAATGCATCAGAGATGATTCCCAAAAACAACTTTTGTGATATAAAAATTGCTTTTTTAAGAACATTTTTGGCAAGGCAATGAACTCGTTTTTTAAGGTTAGACCCTTTATTTGTGGTTAAAATCCGTGTATGGCCTAATGGGATGGGAAAAAAGTGTCACAGTTGTAAGATACCTAATTATCTGAACTCTTAGAAAATAAAAAGAAATCAATGAGCGTTTCCCCAGAAATATGTTTTTGAGACCTTTCCACTCATGAGAATAACGGAAATAATGGAACCAATTCGTAAAAAATTCTTAAAATATATTTCTGGTGGAGCGCCCATTGATTTCTTTACGAAAACTAAGACTTTGCTTCATTATGTTACTTAGCCACATTCTATTTTGCCTGTACAGTAATGGGAAAGTTATTGATTTTAAGCAAAATGTAACGGTTAAATATGGAAAATTGAATTTCATCGCTTCACAAAAAACGTTCTACAAACGCAATAATTTTACATTTGAATTTTTAAGAAATGTTTGTCATTTTATATCTTAAGTCATGATTCATTAATATAATGAATAAAGGTAAATCTGGTGAGATTATGCATGTTAATTTCACAATTTCAAATACAAACAAAATCAGGGCTCTCGCCAGGCTTTTAGACTGTGGCGCAGCACCACACTCTATTTAGCTCCCTCCACACCCTTTTGACAAATCATGACTGTTTCCACAGTCCAAACTTGACTGAATATATAATAATAGCATGTAAAAAGGATAAAACATAACATAAAAATGATTTATCACTATTGAACGGTTATTCTGAAGATGTTAGCACCACACCCTAAATATTTCCTGGTGAGAGCCCTGAAAATTGAATTGAACTATATAATTTCTGTTAATTGGGTTTAGAATAGTGGTAAACATCTGCTTACCTGCAAGATCATTGAAATTGGTAATTGAAGGAGTGTATCTAGACTTGTTACCCTTGTACGGGTAATGGCGTCATTGATGACATCACAAACATCATTAAAAGAATCATTCACAAGGAAATCCCTTATCGTCAGATGACGCAGGTTCATCAACTTAGGACAAATATGATGTAGTGTTCGGAAAAACTCAGAATTATGAGAGGCATGATCATCTCTTTTCACTAGGGCATGAAACGTGCTGAGAAAGCCAATTTTGGAAACTTCTGAATGAAGAATGGGAGAGGGCCGTGCCACTGTTTCTCCAATAGTAAGCTTGTCAATTCCATCACATGTGTGAACTTGTATAGGATTAGAATCCCAAAAGTTTTTAGCGCTAGATTCATTAGATTTATACTGGGGTCTTGTAGATTCAAATACACAATCATAAATGTCTTCTTTGTTACGATCTGTGAGTTCAGTGGAATGGTCATAGTGTCTGTAAATCTCACTTCTATTTTCTGGTGTCACATGTTGCAAGCGCTCTTGCTTAAGTGGATGTGTCCCATAGTACTCTCCTCTGCAGATATCCCATAGCTGTGTACAGTTTTCTTGTGATAATGTATTTATATCACATTTTAATATTGAAACCTTTTTGACTTTTCCATAAAAAACTGTTGCAGACAATATATTCCTAACCTGCTCAAAATCCTCATTGCTCACATGCGATAATGTTATTTCACTCACTGTGCTGCAGACATTATTTAACAGCCAAGCGTTTGAACATATGTATTTGCATTGTTTTGGGTTAATATGCAATTTTTTGATGTACTTGGCATAACGCGTTTCTGTTGCTACTTTTCTCATAAGTGACAACATTGATTCATTTTTATTTCTTTTCTGATTCCTTTCGCAAGTAATGTGATACATAAATTGATTGTACAATAGCTGGAAATACATATCCTTATAACATTCGCGTTTTTTCTCATACTCAAATTCTGCGGAACGATCCAAGCTGATGTAGTTCACAGAGAACTCACGCTGAAGCCTGCATACTGCTTTGAACCAATAGTCATTCGAATTTGAATCCACGTCACACTTTTTTTCAAAAAAGGATCCAAAACGCTCCATATGTACTGGAGATAAATATTTTACCAAGCCTTCTAGACACTGCAGAGGAACATGCTCAAGATAATCTTCATCGTAGTATTCAATACTTGAGCTTCCAATATTTTCTAAACAAATATCCCTTAGACTTCGAGTTTTAGCGTTGTCACTTTTTCCCAAACTAGCCATCCTGCATTTGGAGCACTGACCTTTTGCGTAGAGCTTTAATCCATACTAATCACTTTTACAGATTTTTCAGGACTTTTTCTGATTTTTCTGACTTCGGCGGGCACCGGAAATTCCTATCCGGAAGTAATCATGTCTACACGAATTAATATTTTGGCTTTATATTTCATTGGGCATCTGAGACATGTGACATACTGAAAATTCTAAAGCACTCATTAAAATATTCTATTCCTATTTTGTAATACTATTATTTTATCACATGATCAGTATTCTAGATCTTCAAGATTTTGTCATATCAAATATTGTAAACACCTAGACCTTTTTTCAAAAGTCTATCGATGAAGGCTTAGTGCCTATGGACTGGAAACATGCCAATGTTACTGCTATCTACAAAAAGGGACGAAGAGATGAGGCTGTGAATTACAGGCCTGTATCTCTGACGTCAGTTCCATGTAAAATAATGGAACATATTATATTCCATCATGTTATGGCCCACTTTGACCTCTATGAAATTCTAGTAAAATTCCAACATGGATTCAGGTCAAAGCACTCATGTGAAACACAACTTGTCAATACAATAGAGAATATAGCTCGGGCCCTCGACAACAATAAACAAACAGACATGTTGGTATAAGACTTTTCCAAAGCGTTTGACACGGTGGCTCACGAACGCCTCTTGCTCAAACTCGACTATTATGGAATTCGCAATAATAACTTGAACTGGTTCAGATCCTGGCTTGTGGGAAGATCACAACAGGTAGTGCTCGATGGTGAATCAAGTTCAAAAACTCCAGTAAAATCAGGAGTTCCTCAAGGAACAGTTCTTGGACCACTCTGTTTCCTTGTTTATATCAATGATATGGGCAATAACCTATCATCCTCAGCCAGTCTTAAGCTTTTTGCCGACGACAGCCTTTTATTCATGACAGTCGAAAGCAAGCAAGATGCATTAACACTACAGGAGAATCTTGATAAACTGGTCTCCTGGGCATCAACATGGCAAATGAAATTCCATCCATCAAAATGCTATGTGCTAAATATTCACAAAGGTAAATCCCCTATCATGCACAATTACACCATGCTAGGGGAAAACCTTAAGTCGGTAACACACATCCCATACCTAGGAATTGACATCACAAATATCTTACGCTGGACTACACATATTCAAACTATTGTATCCAAAGCCAATAAGGTGCTTGGATTTCTCAGGCGCAACCTCCATCAATGCCCTGAAAAAGTGAAGGCTCAGGCGTATAAGTCACTAGTCCGGCCTAATTTAGAGTATGCCAGCTCGGCATGGGATCCGTACCGACAAAAAGATATTGATATGTTGGAACAGGTACAGAGAAGAGCAGCCAGGTTTGTAACCAAATGTCACTCAAGGGAACCAGGCTGCGTCACCAAAGCTCTTCAAGACCTACAGTGGGAGCCACTGAAGGAGCGTCGAGAGGCTGCTAGAGTTTTCCTTTTCTACAAAGGAAAGCAGAACCTAGCAGCCATCGACGTGCCTCCATACTTCCGCCAACAGATCAATACCAACACTAGGTTGTATCATCCTTCTAAGTTCATACAACCATCAACTAGAACGGATGCATACAAATTTAGCTATTTCCCTAGGACAATAGCTAAATGGAACACTCTACCTGGTGACATCTTAGACTGTGACAGTCTAAGTAGTTTTAAATCATCATACTATGCCTATGTCAATAACTGCAATTAAATAGGTGTGTTTTTAATATAGATCTATGTTTTAATGTAAAGGGTCCCCAGTGCACAGCAACAAGCCTGCACTACTGGTAAAGAGGGGTGATGTCAACGCGGTTAGCCTGACAGTCTCCCCAGGTAAAATGAGTTGTAAACCATAGATCTATTTTTAAATGTTAAGGTTTTAAATTATATTCTATTCAAATTCTATCACTGTTAAATTATATATCTGCTTTATATGGGCTTATTAGCCTTTTGCGGATTATTGACATAGACATAGACATAGACCTGATTGGCGAGAATCTCGCGAGAACCAAAATGTCAGCGCCCTTGATTTTAGAGCTTAATCTAAATTTTACAATAAAATCACTGACTACTGTAAATGTATGATATAATAGCTGATTTGAGTAGTGCCTCATTATGAACAAACTAATAATACAACGTTCTATTTTGAGGATTTGGACATTCAGCGTCCAGAATCAATGCAAACGGACTTTGAACATCAAAAGTAATCCAAGAATTTCCAAGACTTCGGAAAAGAAAACAATCTCATTGGCTCAAGGACATCAGGAGCATGTACTCAATGCATCACGAGATTGGCCTCTTAGAAAGTTATTTATGAAAACTTGTGTGGGATATTTTGCAGATTTTCCGAATGGTGTTGACTTCAATGTTCAGTATATTGATACATCTCCAGGGCGCCTTGATCTGCCTGTAGCCCTAGCAATCCATGGAGCACCGGGGACACACAAGGACTTTCTTCCAATTGTTGATCAGCTGGCTGAGAGAGGATACCGGGTTATTATCCCTAACTTTCCAGGTAAGTCGAACCTTAGAATCGGGTCTTGAATCTGAGGATTATTTCACTGAATTACATGTATTAATCTTATCATTGGTATTTATATCTGAATTGTGTAACATGCCAGTAATTTAAGTGATAAGGTGAAAACAGATTTCTGTTAGAGTTGTGTGTCATTTTAAAAATGGTTCAATGCTCCTATGCTTGAGAGATCTCTGTACTTATAAATGCAAGAGGTAAAGTACCAGCAATTATCATGATTGAAGCTTTATATATGCACATGTAAAATATATAGTGTATATTAAAACATGCATGTACATGTAATTACATTTTTGACACTGTACAGCAAATTTGCTACTCCGAGACATTGGTATTCACTCAGGACAGTTAATTGTTCAGTGTCAACCTGTACCTGTATGAACATCATTGGCAGTTACTTTTTGTACATGTATGAGTACAATGGATGTTGAAGTTTAATTTATTTAAAAAATTATGTTTTAGGCTATGGGCTTACAACTGGCCATTACGATATGGATGAACAGGTGTTTAGTCATTCTGTTACAGAGCGGTTGTTATTTATTGCTGATTTTGTGGCACTTTTGGGAGTTTTCAAGTAAGTGATTTTGAATTTTTTATCATTAAAAATCTTTGTCTCATTACAGATTTAAAAATAACTCATCAAGGAAATGTACATAAAAGTTAAAAGTAATAAATAAAAGAAAAATTTTAGACTTTTAGAGGCTAGATACACATAATAGTGATGAATTTAACAGTTCACAGCATTTTCTTATTTTCCAAATTTTTGTTTAAAATTCCAAACGAAATTTATAAACTAAGTATAATCTTTGCATAATTCTACACATTTCAAAATAATACAATGCAACCTGTATATCTGAACACCTCTCAATGTGAACACTTTTTCTCAGTCTCACATATGTTATCCCCGTTGACTAACATGTTCATAAAACCTTGAAATCTGAACACCTGCTTATCTGAAAACTTTTGGCAGGTCCCAGATGTGTTCAGATTAGACAGGTTTACTGTACACATTTAAATATGCACTTGGGGTCTGTCTTCTAGAATTGACCTGGTGCTAGGGCATGGAATGGGAACTCATGTAGCATCAGGATTCTGCGCACGTCATCCTGGGGTCAGATCAGCCTTATTTCTCGCACCAGCCCCTCATGAACTACACAGGTTAGGGTGTATAATTTATTTCCAATCAGTGACAATAAGTATACAGTGTTTCATTCCACGTTTTTTGGATGAAAACAGACTTTTGCCCAGTTGGTCCCCTCGGTTAAGAGAAGCAAGCACAAAAAAAACTCAGAAAACACCAGATTTTCCGACGCCCATTCGCTTCTATGTTAATAATCGTCTGAAAATTGCAGAAAGTGTCATTTTCATCATGTTTGAGACATATTCCAATCAATGACAATTTTGATTTTTGGAATGAAGATGGGAATGAAGATGTCAAGAATTCTATTAACACTGGATTATTTTATCCCAATTTAGCCAATAAGTGATATTTCAATAATAAATTAGATACGATTAAAAAGAATAAACTTACAATTTAAATTTTGGAAATTGAACTTTTATAAAAACAGAGTTGCTCCGAGCTGATGTCATTCTTGCCATGTGTAAACTTATACCACTATCCAAATATTTTTTGATATTTTTCCCATTGTTTTTAAATCCTTTATTGATTACCATTGACAACCATGTTAAAAAAACTTGAAATACGCATGTACTTTTTGTTTGGCTGGCCCAAGTGGTCTTAAGATTTAACAGGTCTTTGGCCCTAAATGTTATCGATAACTTGATAATAGACTATTCTCATTTATCATATGAAGGTATATACTGTATAGAGAGAATTTATAGAGTCCAAAAACTAACCTGACCACATTTAGGCTTTGGTCAACAATTTGTGTTTTTTTTGTTTCTGTTTGGTTTACATGTATTATATATTTCTAGGGGACTCCCTCCATCTATTATGATGCGTTTCTTTGCACGTAAGTGGCAGGCCAAGAGTTACATTATTAAGCCTTTCTTATGGTTGATGTTCACCTTCATGCATGCATGGTTACGCTATGAGCCAACATCACACCGTGCAAAACATATCGGAAATATGGTGCTTTCAGGGAATGGAACGCACTATCCAGATGTAAGTGTCACATGCTCAAAAGCTTTTTATGTCACCACAAGAAGTTGTGACATGTTGTTGGTGGTCGGTGTTAGGCATCTGTAACTAATGTAAGGTGGTGACATTTTATTGTACATTATTTGTCACTCATCTTTACTTGATGTGTAGGTCTATTGTTTTGTATAAAAGAGCCAGTGAAATATATAGGTTCCATATTGTTTAGCAAATTGAAAGCTTGTTTGTGGTTGTTGCTCACCGTTTAGTATAAAAGGCCCGATCCCAGAATGATACTCAAGGGTAAGCAGGATGAAGTCACTGTGTCATGACCTCTGCCTGTTTATGTGCTAAATGTGTAATTTAGATTGTCGCAGATTTATCAAAGGGAGATTTTTGTATTAACAAATCAATTTCACATTTTATTGGTGAAGTTTCAGGATCTTGTATTTGTGTTTAATGGAAAAATTTATATCTAGATTTACCCATCACATATTATCGCAAAGCATTATCTTATGAAATGTACTGTAAATTAAACAAGGTAGTTTGAATTTGCACAAGGATTAATATTAGCTTATGCATCCTTTGGATAATTCACTCTCTCAAATTTTATAGAATAATTGCAAATTTTCAAAACCCATCAAAACCCTTAACGTAATTATAATTGCATGTAAGAATATCAGAAATAATTTATTTTGATTAGATCATCAGCTTCGCGCTCGAGATGGAAATAAAGCAGCTCCCCCTAGTGAGCATTACAAGTGAGGATGACTTATTAGTGATGCAATCGCAGTTAACCAAATACCATGATCTGCTGGGTATTAAGGCTGATGCTAGAGAGGAATACGATAAAGATGGCGTTTGTTTGAAATCAGGTAGAAAATTTTTTTTTATTTCTACAGGGTGTCAAATGAGTCCTTTCCTTTTCTACAGCCAAACCAAGATATATGGTACCAAGTGTGATATATCATTGGAAAGATCGTCAAAAGTTACATTCATTGGCATATATCTAATACCTGTCAATCAGTGTCACAAATTGCTTTTTGAACAATAGAGGTGACCTAGAAACATGGCAATTTGGCATATTTGGCAGGAGTTGAAAAATCAGGCTTCAGAAAAGTCAAACAAGCTCAATATCACACAATTGGCAGTGAATTTAAACAATTTGGGGATAGGGTTAGATTTGTAAATAAAGGACAGGTGAAACAGGGTTTAGGTTTTCATATACATCAAATTTTGGTACAACTTCATTTTTATATCACATTGATTTAGGTTTTAAGATATATGTTATTGTTCTATACATTTGATGTACATCATTTCTATTCTTTATTCTCCTTAAGTCCACTTGCACTCAATACGTGATATCATTCATAAATAACATTAAAATCTTGGCTCTTTTCATATTGTTATGTCTTTTCTATCAGGAGAGTTCCAATTCCCATAAAGGAGGATTTTTTAGTTCAGGATATTCTAGTGTATTACATAATCTACTTGGCTTTCTATTGGTTCAAATGTTGGTTCCTCATGGGAATCAACATTTGCCTCCATTTAAAGGAGGTTTAGGAGGTCCAGTAGATTTAATATGACATTAACTTTAATTTGTTCATTATTGGTTTATTTATTTGGTAATTATGGGAAATTATTATTCGCCTCCTTTTTGGAACCTTCCCTGTGGAACTTTCCATACTTTCTGTCTTTTCTTGATTATCATCTCAGAATATCATCTTCAGAACAGTTTTTACTACGGCACAACATACTGATTAAACTAAACTCAATGTAAAGATTGGATTTTGATAATGAAATAATAAACGTTTAGGACTTTAACTTTAAGAATTTTATGTTACTTTATTCGAACTTAAAAAACTGTTTCATTGGTGCCGTTGCCAGGATATAATTAAGTTTTCTATAACTTAATTGGACTAATTTAACAATTTTCTCACTATTATTCAATTTCTATCACTATTGGATCTATATTGGATTATCATTGCTATTGGAATTAACTTGGATTATCATCTCGAATTGGATTATCATTATTGTTGGATATAAATCAGATAATCAATAGTGTTGGATTAGTACATCAGGTAACTATATGCATTTAACTGTAAACTATTGTTATGGCTAAAACACATACATGTAGTTGGATCAAATATGAATTAGAAATTATTATTGGAATGTTTACAGACACCTAACAATCATAATGTTCATGGAGTAAGAAATCTAGTCATGCTTCCCCCAGTTAAAATTTATGGGAAGATGGCATCAAAAACGTTTATGGACATTGCATATTAGTAACAATGTTTTGCCCTTGATATTGTGTTATAAAGAATCAAAAGTCACCATAACCTTCAATAAGAATGATTTTTACGAAAATGGCATATGAAAATAAAATTCATCAAGTTGGAGTTAGAAATTCTGACAATTTTGCACCAGCAGTTAGGTCAGCTGCACTCATTAGCCCGTTGACAGTAATCTTTAAAGAAGATGGATTACTATACATAAATTATTTGGACATGGAAATTGGATATTGAATATAAACTGTTTCTCACTGTAAATATGTATATAAACCGAGTGTTTAAAACGCTTGTAAGCTGCTCTTAAGGAATATTATAACCTTATATAAACAATTGCCACATGTGATGATAATGAAAAATGTAGGATGACGCATATTCATACTTATCGTGAGCTGATACACTAAATGGGAGAGCTATAATGCCAGAGTTTATATTCGTAGACATCCCATACCCAGGAGATGTTAACTGTAATGCCAGGGAGTGCATTCGTTGATGTTCGTACCCCCGGGAAGTATTTTAATGCCAGGTTGTGCATTCGTAGATGTCCCGTGCCCCAGAGAAGTAATCGTAATGCCAGGTAGTGCATTCGTAGATGTCCCGTGCCCCAGAGAAGTAATCGTAATGCCAGGTAGTGCATTCATAGATGTCCCGTGCCCCAGAGAAGTAATTGTAATGCCAGGTAGTGCATTTGTAGATGTTTGTATCCCCGGGAAGTATTTTATTGCCAGGTAGTGCATTCGTAGATGTTCGTATCCCCGGGAAGTATTTTAATGCCAGGTAGTGCATTCGTAGATGTTCGTATCCCCGGGAAGTATTTTAATGCCAGGTAGTGCATTCGTAGATGTTCGTATCCCCGGGAAGTATTTTAATGCCAGGTAGTGCATTCGTAGATGTTCGTATCCCCGGGAAGTATTTTAATGCCAGGTAGTGCATTCGTAGATGTTCGTATCCCCAGGAAGTATTTTAATGCCAGGTAGTGCATTCGTAGATGTTCGTACCCCCGGGAAGTATTTTAATGCCAGGTAGTGCATTCGTAGATGTCCCGTGCCCCAGAGAAGTAACCCGTAATGCCAGAGTGCAGTCGTAGCCGTCCCGTGTTCCATGTTACATGTTACCCATGATAGTGTATCAGTGCATGTCTCAACCAAAAGATGTACTTTTAATACGAAGATAATGTTGCAACAGATGTATCGTTCCCCAGATGTCACCATGATGCCCAGAAAGTGCAACCATACAAGTTTAGTGAAATGAATGTGATATATACAAGAAACCATATTACCCAATTGTGCATCACATTGCTTGAATATTAAAATGTCAACTGCTGCAAGATGTTGACAAAATACAATGCTTGGATATAGCAAATGTAAACAAGCCTTATGGATATATAATGGATTATGCTTGAGCGATGAAGAAGAATGGATTATTAAAATAATGACCATAGAAATCAACCTCTTGATACACTGTATTTTATAACATTTTGAATATCAGTGCTTAGAGACAACATATAACCATCATCAAAAGAAAACTGTTGTGAGAGAGGACTGACAACTAGACCCTTATTGAAAACATTGCTTACTATACATTACATTAACTACAGTGTAAACTAAATCAGGCAAGGGTAAAATTCAAATTCAAATGATTAAATGTTCTTCAGGAAATATATACAGTTTTTGTTAAGGTAACTGGTTAATCACAGTAAGTCTGATCAAGTATGAACATAGACATCTTTTGTATGTCTCTGGTATGAGAATTTAGGGGTTATATAATAGGTTATCATGGTTTTTCATGTCGAAGTGGGTGCACACATTTCTGCATGAAAATACTGGATACCTTTTATTCATTGAGATAAATTTGATTTTCATGATAAATTACATTTACTTTCTGGTTGTTCGATTCAATTTTTGTAGTCAAGTTAGGTCTGATTTAAGATATTGAGATTCTAATTGTCGTCAGGAATTTTATTGAATGTCAAGGACCAATTCTATGTGGTTATGCTTCTATGCTATTTATTCTAGCCAGTGGATGTTCAATATACGGTAAACTTACATCTGAAAGTGTATATATTGGGGGAGGTTAAAGGCTATTCTAAATAATTTAGTACTGAACCATTTAGAAAATATGAAAGTTGATGAATACCATTATCAGTACAATTAATGTGACATGACAGTTTCTCAGTTTACCATAGTTGGTCAAGTTCTGTAACGAATCCCTAAACTGAATATAATTCATGCGTTTGTATCTGTTTCAAATAATGATAATTTTATAGTGATCTCAAGGATCTATAGTAAAGTCAAGGAAGAATTTCATATTAATTTGTTTTAAAAGTATGTCATGCCAATTCTTTAGGCAAGAACATTTTATACAGAAAAATTATCTTACCTAACAATGAATTCAATTTGAAGAATCGCTAATGGCTGCTTGTATGTAACTTTGCATAATGCATATGTATGGCAAGTTTGGAATAAGAGGCTAGAGGTGAAATATTGTTTTTATTCTGCTGTCCTGTTGCTTGGCAACTTTCTTAAATAATATAAACATATTCTACTTTACTAACCTTTGACTTTGGGATAACATGACATTCTTAAAACCAGGAAATTGTAGTAAACAATTGCATTTATAGTAAACAATACATTTCATAGTAAACAAGAATAGTAAACAATTGTGAATTTCTAATAACACATGTGTTACTAAGTGTACTTATATTTCACAACTTCAAATATCACTATTTAACCATGCATGTTCTTTTATACTGTTTATATATGCTTTAAGAAAACATACCATGCATAATTTTGCATTGAAAAAATGAAACAAAAATTGTAAAAGTAACCTTTATTAAATATTAATGCATTTGAAGAACAGTTATTATATGGAGTAAAACTCTGTAAAACTTTGTTGTATTTGCAAAGTTGGTGGTAATGAAACATCGTTGTTTTTTTGAATTGAATATTTTAGTTGACAATGTTTATTGTACAAATATTTTGTGTTTGAGGACAAACACTTTTAATTAAGTTGGGGGTAATGAAACAGGGTTTAGGTTTTCATATACATCAAATTTTGGTACAACTTCATTTTTATATCACATTGATTTAGGTTTTAAGATATATGTTATTGTTCTATACATTTGATGTACATCATTTCTATTCTTTATTCTCCTTAAGTCCACTTGCACTCAATACGTGATATCATTCATAAATAACATTAAAATCTTGGCTCTTTTCATATTGTTATGTCTTTTCTATCAGGAGAGTTCCAATTCCCATAAAGGAGGATTTTTTAGTTCAGGATATTCTAGTGTATTACATAATCTACTTGGCTTTCTATTGGTTCAAATGTTGGTTCCTCATGGGAATCAACATTTGCCTCCATTTAAAGGAGGTTTAGGAGGTCCAGTAGATTTAATATGACATTAACTTTAATTTGTTCATTATTGGTTTATTTATTTGGTAATTATGGGAAATTATTATTCGCCTCCTTTTTGGAACCTTCCCTGTGGAACTTTCCATACTTTCTGTCTTTTCTTGATTATCATCTCAGAATATCATCTTCAGAACAGTTTTTACTACGGCACAACATACTGATTAAACTAAACTCAATGTAAAGATTGGATTTTGATAATGAAATAATAAACGTTTAGGACTTTAACTTTAAGAATTTTATGTTACTTTATTCGAACCTTAAAAAACTGTTTCACAGGGATAGTGGTGAAAACTTGTTTGTAACAAGTGGAATTGCAAAAAAAGATTTACTTAATTAGCAGCCATATTTTACCTGTATATTCAATATTCAGGCTTTGGTGTTTGGTGTTCGGCGTGTATAAGAAATGGCAGGTTGTGACATTTCACGTGTTAATGCCTTGTTTCAGTATGTATGCTAGTCACAATATTTGATATAGATATTTTTGTAATAAGGTATCTGGTTGACTATACAGTAAAACCTGTCTAATCTGAACACTTCTTTGGCCAGTCTTCTGGTTTTCAGGTATTTCAAGGTTTTACAATAATCAATGGAAGAAAACATATTTGAGAAGAGAAGAAGTGTTCACATTGAGAGGTGTTCATATTAGAGACACGTTTGGAAACACACAATTCAATGTACTGTAAACAGAATAATCATGAGTTTTATGTATCTTTCAGTTGTTCCTAGTGAAAATACACCTCACCATGCCAAGAGTATATTGCTGCAAAACGGTACATCATTTCCGCAGAAAACATACACAGACTTAGTTATAAAAGAAGCTTTAGAACTGTTAGAAAAGTCTAAGAATTATCAACCCCCTAACAGTAACATTGATAGCTGATGCTAGCTTCCTTTAGGAATTTATTGAAATATTCAGATTTTTATGGGTTCAATATAGAGGATATTACATGGAGGCCATCAGACTGTATCAAAGAGACGTTATCTTACAGATGTTTTGGTCATGCAGATGTTTTGGTCATACACATGTTGTTCCAACAAATGATTGGAAACTATAAGCAAACATTTTTGTGGACAGTGTGCGGCGTCTGTTACAAATGGCAGGTGGTGACATTTTGCATGTTAATGCCTTGTTTTAGTATATGCTAGTCACAATATTTACCATATAAATTCTTGTAATAAGGTATCTAGTTGAACACATTCTTAAATTTGAAATAAATAGATTACCTTGAGTTATATCCCATGGGCTTCTCTTAAAGTTATCACAGTTAGTGGACAATGGGTTGTACCCAATGGGTAATATAGCAAGTGGCTTTATTACAAGAAAATTCAGTGCATGTATAAAGGATTAGAGACATACATCTCTTGTTTTGTTTATGGAGAAAATAAATTTTGAAAATTAAAAAAACTTTTTTTGTCATCACATCAGTCGAAATTAGTGGGAATGGCAAAAAGTTACCCCCCCCAAAGGTTCAAGGTTCAGTGGTATCATCATTCTATTCTATTTATTCTATTATATCATTATTGTATTTATTAAGTAAAACTTGGAGTGACTCTGGATCAAATCATAATTTGATTGAATTTTTTTATAATTAACTTCAGTTTAACAAGAAAAATAGAATAGCATGAGACATTATACAAGGATAACAGTGGGTAATGTCCAGGGTCCCTCTCCCATTAAAATAACAGAACAAGGCGTGTGCGGTTGGTTAGATGGCATAAGCTTGTCTGTTAGACTGGTCATCGCCGGGAGGGGTGTGAATGTAGACACCGCGATCCCCGGGGTTACGATGGTCAGTCTAAGACGCTGCGTTTTAATAAAACCCATTGACGCAACTGTGGTTTCCTAACAAGTTCAGGCCATGTGGAATAGGAACATAAAGTATAAACGAGATTAATTATTACCTGAAAATTTAATAGAACGATTACCGGCCATATGCATTTCAAAAGTCCCTACTATGTCCCACCCCAGGGGACAATATTGTGAGTCAAATTTCCTCTCCTCATGGGAGTTCTCAAACTGTCATTTTAATGCTCGCATAATTGGTCATTTATTCACATTAAATATATCAAAAACAATAGCTTAATTTCTTCTTTATATAGTATTTATTACTGTAACTTACAATGAAATATGACAAATTACATAAAATGCAGACTAATTACAGAAACCCATACAATTAAATACAGAACAAAATTTCGATAATGACAAATTAATCTAGAGAGATTCATACTAACGACATACTCATACATCACTTATGCTACATATTTTGTTATGTGAGATATACTGAATTAAATTTTTTATCATATTTTAGCTTTTAAAGTCAATAAATCAACACGTACAATGTGTTATTTTCATCACCCCTAAATAGTGCCAGTGATCTCCACAGGATTTTTTCTCAAGTGGGTGCAAAATTCTCATTCAGACCAAAATTGGTCAAAATATGCCCATTTTTCATGATTTTTCTCATTTTCAAGTGGGTGCAAATGGATTTTCAGGTGGGTGCAAGCCTATTTTCAAAACTCCAGGTGGGTGCTGCGCCCACTTGCTTTAATGCTGGGGAGATCGCTCTGTGCTATGTCACATTTTATTTCAGTTGAGGCCTATTTGTGTAGATTCTCATCAAGGTACTATCTCTAGTATTTATTCAAGAGTTTTATTTATTGTCAGTAATCACTATGGCACTCAGTTGTCTTTTTTTATTAAAAATTGTTGTTGTCACTTCCGTTGTAACAATGTAGTACTAATTATGTCACCTACACGAAGTGTTGAAATATTGTTACGTCACAAACTTTTCCAGAGATTGTTTGGCATCTGTAACAAATGGCATGATGTGACATTTTGCATGTTTTGTTCTCAAAGTGACACTTTTTAATTTCTGTATTTTCCACTCAGGTTTGGAATGTGCACTTCCACATTCTGGTAGAAACTCCTGTTTGTACTAGTGATCGGGATAATGGATACTAATTCCAAAAGCTGTCCCATAAGTTGTCAGATTTGGCATCTTCCTTGTCAGAATTATTTGCATCCGTTTTGCAATCAGGAGGCTGCTCTGTATTCTCCACTTCTGTTTTGGCAGTTGAACTCTCATAATTTAATGTATTATTTGAGCTTTCAATTGGTGTATCGGATGATGCCATTTCAGAATCAGAAGACCACAGTTCTATTAATCTGTCAATGACAGTATCATCTTCTTCATCGCAGCATGTAGTATTTTCTGATTTAGAATCAGTTGTTAGACATTTATCATTCATCGAATCATTTGTTGTCTTAACTTCTGTTTTTGGTGTTGGACATCCATCACTTGTTTTATTTGAGCTTTCGATTGGTGTATTGGTTGAGGTCGTTTCAGAATCAGAAGACAAGAGTCCTATGAATGCGTCGATTACAGAATCTCCTTCTTCATCGCAGCATGTAGTATTTTCTAGTACTGATTTAGAATCAGTAGTTGATGGACAGTTATCATTCAAAGACTCCTCTGTATTCTCCTCTTCCGTATTTTGTGTTGGATGTCCATCATTTGTTGTTTTATTTGAGCTTTCAATTGGTGTATTGGATGAGGACATTTCAGAATCAGAAGACCAGAGTCCTAAGAATGCGTCGATTACAGAATCGCCTTCTACATCGCTGCATGTAGTATTTTCAGATTCGGATTTAGAATTGGGATTTGTTGGACAGTTATCATTCAAAGACTCATCTGTATTCTCCTCTTCCGTATTTTGTGTTGGATGTCCATCATTTGTTGTTTTATTTGAGCTTTCAATAGGTGTAGTGGACGAGGTGGTCTCAAAATCAGAAGACCAGAGTCCAATGAATGCGTCGATTACAGAATCTCCTTCTTCATCACAGCATGTTGTATTTTCTGGTTCGGATTTAGGATCGGGAGTTGTAAGACATTCATCATTCAAAGAATGCTTTGGATTATTCATTGGTGTATTTGATGATATATTTCCATCATTTGTTGTTTTATTTGAGCCTTCAATTGGTGTAGTGGACGAGGTGGTCTCAGAATCAGAAGACCAGAGTCCAATGAATGCGTCAATTACAGAATCTCCTTCTTCATCGCAGCATGTAGTATTTTCAGATTCGGATTTAGAATCGGGAGTTGATTGGCAGTTATCATTCAAAGACTCATCTGTATTCTCCTCTTCCGTATTTTGTGTTGGATGTCCGTCATTTGTTGTTTTATTTGAGCTTTCAATTGGTGTATTGGATGAAGTTATTTCAGAATCAGAAGACACGAGTCCTATGAATGCGTCGATTACAGAATCTCCTTCTTCATCGCAGCATGTAGTATTTTCAGATTCGGATTTAGAATCGGGAGTTGATTGGCAGTTATCATTCAAAGACTCATCTGTATTCTCCTCATTCGTATTTTGTGTTTGATGTCCGTCATTTGTTGTTTTATTTGAGCCTTCAATTGGTGTAGTTGACGAGGTGGTCTCGCAATCAGAAGACCAGAGTCCTATGAATGCGTCGATTACAGAATCTCCTTCTTCACCGCAGCATGTAGTATTTTCAGATTCGGATTTAGAATCGGGAGTTGATTGGCAGTTATCATTCAAAGACTCATCTGTATTCTCCTCATTCGTATTTTGTGTTTGATGTCCGTCATTTGTTGTTTTATTTGAGCCTTCAATTGGTGTAGTTGACGAGGTGGTCTCACAATCAGAAGACCAGAGTCCTATGAATGCGTCGATTACAGAATCTCCTTCTTCATCGCAGCATGTAGTATTTTCGGGTTCTGATTTTGATTCAGTTGTAAGACATTCATCATTCGAAGACTCCTTTGTATTATTCACTTGTGTATTTGATGATGTATTTCCATCACTTGTTGCTTTATTTGAGCTTTGAGTATTGGACAAGGATGTCTCAGAATCAGAAGACCAGAGTCCTATGGATGCATCGATAACAGAATCACCTTCTTCCTCGCAGCATGTAGTATTTTCATGCTCGGATTTAGAATCAGGAGTTGATTGGCAGTTATCATTCAAAGACTCATCTGTATTCTCCTCTTCCGTATTTTGTGTTGGATGTCCGTCATTTGTTGTTTTATTTGAGCTTTCAATTGGTGTATTGGATGAAGTTATTTCAGAATCAGAAGACCAAAGTCCAATGAATGAGTCGATTACAGAATCACTTTCTTCATCGCAACATGTAGTATTTTCATGCTCGGATTTAGAATCGGGAGTTGATTGGCAGTTATCATTCAAAGACTCATCTGTATTCTCCTCTTTCAATTCCGTATTTTGTGTTGGATGTCCATCATTTGTTGTTTTATTTGAGCTTTTAATTGGTGTATTGGATGAAGTTATTTCAGAATCAGAAGACCAAAGTCCAATGAATGAGTCGATTACAGAATCTCCTTCTTCATCGCAGAATGTAGTATTTTCATGCTTGGATTTAGAATCAGGACTTGATGGACAGTTATCATTCAAAGACTCATCTGTATTCTCCTCTTCCATATTTTGTGTTGGATGTCCATCATTTGTTGTTTTATTTGAGCTTTCAATTGGTGTATTGGATGAAGTTATGTCAGAATCAGAAGACCAGAGTCCAATGAATGCGTCGATTACAGAATCTCCTTCTTCATCATCGCATGTACTATTTTTAGGTTCTGATTTAGGATCAGTTGTTAGGCATTTATCACTCAAAGACTCCTTTGTCTTATTCACTGTTGTATTTGTTGTTTCATTCTCATTACTTGCTATCTTATTTGAGCTTTCAATTGGTGTATTGGTTGAGGTCGTTTCAGAATCAGAAGACCAGAGTCCAATGAATGCGTCGATTACAGAATCTCCTTCTTCATCATCGCATGTACTATTTTCAGGTTCTGATTTAGGATCAGTTGTTAGGCATTTATCACTCAGAGACTCCTTTGTCTTATTCACTGTTGTATTTGTTGTTTCATTCTCATTACTTGCTATCTTATTTGAGCTTTCAATTGGTGTATTGGTTGAGGTCGTTTCAGAATCAGAAGACCAGAGTCCAATGAATGCGTCGATTACAGAAATTCTTTCTTCATCGCAGCATGTAGTATTTTCAGGTTCTGATTTAGATTCAGTTGTTAGGCATTCATCACTCAAAGACTGCTTTAAATTATTCACTGGTGTATTTGATGTTGTATTCCCATCACTTGTTGTTTTATTTGAGCTTTCAATTGCTGTATTGGTTAAGGTCGTTTCAGAATCAGAAGACCAGAGTCCAACGAATGCGTCGATTACAGAATCTCCTTCTTCATCGCAGCATGTAGTATTTTCAGATTCGGATTTAGAATCGGGAGTTGTTGGACAGTTATCATTCAAAGACTCATCTGTATTCTCCTCTTCCGTATTTTGTGTTGGATGTCCATCATTTGTTGTTTTATTTGAGCTTTCAATTGGTGTATTGGATGAGGACGTTTCAGAATCAGAAGACCAGAGTCCAATGAATGCGTCGATTACAGAATCTCCTTCTTCATCGCAGCATGTAGTATTTTCAGGTTCTGATTTAGACTCAGTTGTTAGACATTCATCGTTCGAAGACTCCTTTGTATTATTCACTGGTGTATTTGATGACGTATTTCCATCACTTGTTGTTTTATTTGAGCTTTCGATTGGAGTTTTGGATGATGCCATTTCAGAATCAGAAGACCAGAGTCCAATGAATGCGTCGATTACAGAATCGCCTTCTTCATCGCAGCATGTAGTATTTTCAGGTTCTGATTTAGATTCTGTTGTTAGACATTCATCACTCAAAGACTGCTTTAAATTATTCACTGGTGTATTTGATGACGTATTTCCATCACTTGTTGTTTTATTTGAGCTTTCGATTGGAGTTTTGGATGATGCCATTTCAGAATCAGAAGACCAGAGTCCAATGAATGCGTCAATTACAGAATCGCTTTCTTCATCGCAGCATGTAGTATTTTCGGGTTCTGATTTAGATTCAGTTGTTAGACATTCATCATTCGAAGACTCCTTTGTATTATTCACTGGTGTATTTGATGACGTATTTCCATCACTTGTTGTTTTATTTGAGCTTTCGATTGGAGTTTTGGATGATGCCATTTCAGAATCAGAAGACCAGAGTCCAATGAATGAGTCGATTACAGAATCTCCTTCTTCATCGCAGCATGTAGTATTTTCAGGTTCTGATTTAGATTCAGTTGTTAGACATTCATCACTCAAAGACTGCTTTAAATTATTCACTGGTGTATTTGATGTTGCATTCCCATCACTTGTTGTTTTATTTGAGCTTTCAATTGGTGTATTGGTTAAGGTCGTTTCAGAATCAGAAGACCAGAGTCCCAAGAATGCGTTGATTACAGAATCGCCTTCTTCATCGCTGCATGTAGTATTTCCATGCTCGGATTTAGAATCGGGAGTTGATTGGCAGTTATCATTCAAAGACTCATCTGTATTCTCCTCTTCCGTATTTTGTGTTGGATGTCCTTCATTTGTTGTTTTATTTGAGCTTTCAATTGGTGTATTGGATGAGGACGTTTCAGAATCAGAAGACCAGAGTCCAATGAATGCGTCGATTACAGAATCTCTTTCTTCATCGCAGCATGTAGTATTTCCATGCTCGGATTTAGAACCGGGAGTTGTTGGACATTTATCACTCAAAGACTCCTTTGTATTATTCACTGGTGTATTTGATGTTGCATTCCCATCACTTGTTGTTTTATTTGAGCTTTCAATTGGTTTATTGGACGAGGACGTTTCAGAATCAGAAGACCAGAGTCCAATGAATGCGTCGATTACAGAATCGCCTTCTTCATCGCTGCATGTAGTATTTTCAGATTCGGATTTAGAATTGGGATTTGTTGGACAGTTATCATTCAAAGACTCATCTGTATTCTCCTCTTCTGTATTTTGTGTTGGATGTCCATCATTTGTTGTTTTATTTGAGCTTTCAATTGGTGTATTGGATGAGGACGTTTCAGAATCAGAAGACCATAGTCCAATGAATGCGTCGATTACAGAATCACCTTCTTCATCGCAGCATGTAGTATTTTCAGATTCTGATTTAGATTCAGTTGTTAGACATTCATCGTTCGAAGACTCCTTTGTATTATTCACTGGTGTATTTGATGACGTATTTCCATCACTTGTTGTTTTATTTGAGCTTTCGATTGGAGTTTTGGATGATGCCATTTGAGAATCAGAAGACCAGAGTCCAATGAATGCGTCGATTACAGAATCGCCTTCTTCATCGCAGCATGTAGTATTTTTAGGTTCTGATTTAGATTCGGTTGTTAGACATTCATCACTCAAAGACTGCTTTAAATTATTCACTGGTGTATTTGATGACGTATTTCCATCACTTGTTGTTTTATTTGAGCTTTCGATTGGAGTTTTGGATGATGCCATTTCAGAATCAGAAGACCAGAGTCCAATGAATGCGTCAATTACAGAATCGCCTTCTTCATCGCAGCATGTAGTATTTTCAGGTTCTGATTTAGATTCAGTTGTTAGACATTCATCGTTCGAAGACTCCTTTGTATTATTCACTGGTGTATTTGATGACGTATTTCCATCACTTGTTGTTTTATTTGAGCTTTCGATTGGAGTTTTGGATGATGCCATTTCAGAATCAGAAGACCAGAGTCCAATGAATGCTTCAATTACAGAATTGCCTTCTTCATCGCAGCATGTAGTATTTTCGGGTTCTGATTTAGATTCAGTTGTTAGACATTCATCATTCGAAGACTCTTTTGTATTATTCACTGGTGTATTTGATGACGTATTTCCATCACTTGTTGTTTTATTTGAGCTTTCGATTGGAGTTTTGGATGATGCCATTTCAGAATCAGAAGACCAGAGTCCAATGAATGCGTCGATTACAGAATCACCTTCTTCATCGCTGCATGTAGTATTTTCAGATTCGGATTTAGAATCGGGAGTTTTTGGACAGTTATTCAAAGACTCATTTGTATTCTCCTCTTCCGTATTTTGTGTTGGATGTCCATCATTTGTTGTTTTATTTGAGCTTTCAATTGGTGTATTGGATGAAGTTATGTCAGAATCAGAAGACCAGAGTCCAATGAATGCGTCGATTACAGAATCTCCTTCTTCATCGTCGCATGTACTATTTTCAGGTTCTGATTTAGGATCAGTTGTTAGGCATTTATCACTCAAAGACTCTTTTGTATTATTCACTGGTGTATTTGATGACGTATTTCCATCACTTGTTGTTTTATTTGAGCTTTCGATTGGAGTTTTCGATGATGCCATTTCAGAATCAGAAGACCAGAGTCCAATGAATGCGTCAATTACAGAATCGCCTTCTTCATCGCAGCATGTAGTATTTTCGGGTTCTGATTTAGATTCAGTTGTTAGACATTCATCGTTCGAAGACTCCTTTGTATTATTCACTGGTGTATTTGATGACGTATTTCCATCACTTGTTGTTTTATTTGAGCTTTCGATTGGAGTTTTGGATGATGCCATTTCAGAATCAGAAGACCAGAGTCCAATGAATGCGTCGATAACAGAATCGCCTTCTTCATCGCAGCATGTAGTATTTTCAGGTTCTGATTTAGATTCGGTTGTTAGACATTCATCACTCAAAGACTGCTTTAAATTATTCACTGGTGTATTTGATGTTGTATTCCCATCACTTGTTGTTTTATTTGAGCTTGCAATTGGTTTATTGGATGAGGACTTTTCAGAATCAGAAGACCAGAGTCCAATGAATGCATCAATTACAGAATCACCTTCATCATCGCAACATGTAGTATTTTCAGGTTCTGATTTAGATTCAGTTGTTAGACATTCATCTTTGAAAGACTGCTTTATGCTTTTCACTGCTGAATTTGTTGTTGTTTTCCCATCACTTGTTGTTTTATTTGAGGTTTCCATTGGTGTAGTTGACGAAGTCGTCTCAGAATCAGAAGACCAGAGTCCTATGAAAGCGTTGATTACAGAATCTCCTTCTTCATCGTCGCATGTACTATTTTCAGGTTCTGATTTAGGATCAGTTGTTAGGCATTTATCACTTAAAGACTCCTTTGTCTTATTCACTGTTGTATTTGTTGTTTCATTCTCATTACTTGCTATCTTATTTGTGCTTTCAATTGGTGAATTGGCTGATGTAGAGTCAGAATCAGAAGAAAAGATATCAATGAATTTGTCAATTACAGAATCATCCTCATCATCGCAGATTGTAGCATTTTGTGATTTTAATTTAGGATGACTATCTGGACAGCTTTTATTCAAAGAATCATTTGTTTTATTCACTGTTGTATTTGTTGTTTCATTCTCATCACTTGCTGTCTTACTTGAGCTTTCCATTGGTATATCGGTTGATGTAGAGTCAGAATCAGAAGACCAGATTCCCATGACTTTGTCAATTACAGAATCATCCTCATCATCGCAGCTTGTAGTATTTTCTGATTTTGATTTAGGATGACTTTCTATACAGCTTTCACTCAAAGACTCTTCTTTATAACTCACTGTTGTATTTGATGTTGCATTTTCATCACTTGGTATCTTACTTGAGCTTTCAATTGGTGTATTGGTTGATGTAGAGTCAGAATCAGAAGAAAAGATTCGAATGAATTTGTCAATTACAGAATCATCCTCATCATCGCAGCTTGTAGCATTTTGTGATTTTAATTTAGGATGACTTTCTGGACAGCTTTCACTCAAAGACACATTTGTTTTATTCACTGTTGTATTTGTTGTTTCATTCTCATCACTTGCCATCTTATTTGTGCTTTCCATTGGTGTATTGGTTGATGTAGAGTTAGAATCAGAAGAAAAGATATCAATGAATTTGTCAATAAAGGAATCGTCCTCATCATCGCAGCTTGCATTATTTTCTGATTTTGATTTAGGATGACTTTCTGGACTGTTCTCCCTCAAAGTCTCCTTTGTTTCATTCACTGTTGTATTTGTTGTTTCATTCTCATCACTTGCCATCTTACTTGAGCTTTCCATTGGTGTATTGGTTGATGTAGAGTCAGAATCAGAAGACCAGAATCCCATGACTTTGTCAATTACAGAATCGTCCTCATCATCGCAGCTTGTAGTATTTTCTGATTTTGATTTAGGATGACTTTCTGGACAGTTTTCACTCAAAGACTCTTCTTTGTAACTCACTGTTGTATTTGATGTTGCATTTTCATCACTTGGTATCTTACTTGAGCTTTCAATTGGTGTATTGGTTGATGTAGAGTCAGAATCAGAAGAAAAGATTCCAATGAATTTGTCAATTAAAGAATCATCCTCATCATCAGAGCATTTAGTATATTCTGGTACAGATTGTTGAGGATTTTTAGTTAAAGACACTTCTTTATCCTTTGTCGTGTTTGATGATTTACTCCCATCACTTGCTGTCTTACTTGAATCTTCTCCTTGTATTCCACCCAAAGATAATGTAGACTCGGAATCAGAAGACCAGAGATCCAGGAATTGGTCAAATACAGTATCATCTTTATCTTCACGACACTCTATATCGTCACTTGCAGATTTTTTATCAGATGATGTGCTTGAACTAGTTGAACAGTGTTCATCACATTCCACTGGGACAATATGATTTTCAGTTTCATTATTACAACACGTCGTATTTTCTATGCATTCCACATTCCATTTGGATGAGTGGTTCTCACATCTAATGTGTTGTGTACAGCCTACTAGACAATTCGATGAATGGATACCGCTACTTATATGGTCCTCTGTACAGTCGACTGGATAGTTAGGTGAGTGGTTCTCATCTCTTATGTGGGATTGTGAACAGTCTATGGGACAGTTTTGTGGATGATTCTTACCTCTTATATGGTGTTCTGTACCGGTGACAGGGATGAAGGGTGCATGGTTCCCACCTCCTGTATGGTCTTCTATATAGTGGATTGGACAAGTGGATGAGTGGTTTTCTTCTCTGGTATGGTATTCTGAACAGTCAAATGCACAATTGGACGAGTGGTTTCCTTCTCTAATATGGTCTTCTGTACAATCATCTGGACAGTTGGATGAATGGTTTTCTTCTCTGGTATGGTATTCTGAGCAGTCAACTGCACTGTTGGACGAGTGGTTTTCTTCCCTGATATGGTATTCAGAGCAGTCAACTGCACAGTTAGATGAATGATTTCCTTCTCTGATATGGTCTTCTGTACAATCAACTGCACAGTTCGATGAGTGGTTTCTTTCTCTGATATGGTCTGCTGTACAATCAACTTCACCTCTGGATGAGTGGTTTCCATCTCTGATATCGTCTGCTGTACAATCAACTTTACAGTTGGATGAATGGTTTCCTTCTCTGACATGGTCTTCTGTACAATCAACTTTACTGTTGGATGAATGGTTTCCTTCTCTGATATGGTCTTCTGTACAATCATATTTACAGTTGGGTGAATGGTTTCCTTCTCTGATATGGTCTTCTGTACAATCATCTTTACCATGGGATGAATGGTTTCCTTCCTTTATATGGTCTTCTGTACAATCAACTCCGCAGTTGGATGAATGGTTTCCTTCTCTGATATGGTCTTCTGTACAATCATCTGCACAGTTTGATGAATGGTTTCCTTCCCTTATATGGTCTTCTGTACAAATAACTGCACAGTTGGATGTATGGTTTCCTTCTCTGATATGGTCTTCTGTACAATCATCTTTACAGTCGGATGAGTGGTTTCCTTCTCTGATGTGGTCTTCTGTACAATCAATTTCAAATTTGGATGAGTGGTTTCCTTCCCTGAAATGGTCTTCTATACAATCATCTTTACAATGAGATGAATGGGTTCCTTCCTTTATATGGTCTTCTGTCAAATCATCTTTACAGTTGGATGAAAGGATTCCTTCTCTGATATGGTCTTCTGTACAATCATCTTTACAGTTGGATGAATGGTTTCCTTCTCTGATATGGTCTTCTGTACAATCATCTTTACATTTGGATGAATGGTTTCCTTCTCTTATATGGTCTTCTGTACAATCATCTTTACAGTTGGATGGGTGGTTTCCTTCTCTGATATGGTCTTCTGTACAATCAATTGCACAGTTAGATGAATGGTTTCCTTCTCTGATATGGTCTTCTGTACAATCATCTTTACATTTGGATGAATGGTTTCCTTCTCTTATATGGTCTTCTGTACAATCATCTTTACAGTTGGATGGGTGGTTTCCTTCTCTGATATGGTCTTCTGTACAATCAATTGCACAGTTAGATGAATGGTTTCCTTCTCTGATATCGTCTGCTGTACAATCAACTTTACAGTTGGATGAAAGGTTTCCTTCTCTGACATGGTCTTCTGTACAATCAACTTTACTGTTGGATGAATGGTTTCCTTCTCTGATATGGTCTTCTGTACAATCATATTTACAGTTGGGTGAATGGTTTCCTTCTCTGATATGGTCTTTTGTACAATCATCTTTACCATGGGATGAATGGTTTCCTTCCTTTATATGGTCTTCTGTACAATCAACTCCGCAGTTGGATGAATGGTTTCCTTCTCTGATATGGTCTTCTGGACAATCATCTGCACAGTTTGATGAATGGTTTCCTTCCCTTATATGGTCTTCTGTACAATCAACTTCACATTTGGATGAGTGGTTTCCTTCCCTGAAATGGTCTTCTATACAATCATCTTTACAATGAGATGAATGGGTTCCTTCCTTTATATGGTTTTCTGTAAAATCATCTTTACAGTTGGATGAAAGGATTCCTTCTCTGATATGGTCTTCTGTACAATCATCTTTACATTTGGATGAATGGTTTCCTTCTCTTATATGGTCTTCTGTACAATCATCTTTACAGTTGGATGGGTGGTTTCCTTCTCTGATATGGTCTTCGGTACAATCAACTTTACAATGGGATGAATGGTTTCCTACTCTGATATGGTCTTCGGTACAATCAATTTTACAGTTGGATGAATGGTTTCCTTCTCTGATATGATCTTCTGTACAATCAATTGCACAGTTGGATGAATGGTTTCCTTCTCTCATGTGGTCTTCTGTACTATCAACTTTACAGTTGGATGAATGGTTTCCTTCTCTGATATGGTCTTCTGTACAATCAACTGCACAGTTGGATGAATGGTTTCCTTCTCTGATGTGGTCTTCTGTACAATCATCTTTGCAGTTGAATGAGTGGTTTCCTTCATTGATATGGTCTTCTGTACAATCAACTGCACAGTTGGATGTATGCTTTTCTCCTCTGATATGGTCTTCTGTACAATCAACTTTACAGTTGTATGAATGGTTTCCTTCTCTGATATGGTTTTCTGTACAATCATATTTACAGTTAGATGAATGGTTTCCTTCTCTGATATGGTCTTCTGTACAATCATCTTTACAATGGGATGAATGGTTTCCTTCTCTGATATGGTCTTCGGTACAATCAACTTTACAATTGGATGAATGGTTTCCTTCTCTGATATGATCTTCTGTACAATCAACTCCACAGTTGGATGAATGGTTTCCTTCTCTCATGTGGTAGTCTGTACAATCAATTTTACAGTTGGATGAATGGTTTCCTTCTCTGATATGGTCTTTTGTACAATCAACTGCACAGTTGGATGAATGGTTTCCTTCTCTGATATGATCTTCTGTACAATCAACTTTACAATTGGATGAATGGTTTCCTTCTCTGATATGATCTTCTGTACAATCAACTGCACAGTTGGATGAATGGTTTCCTTCTCTCATGTGGTCTTCTGTACAATCAATTTTACAGTTGGATGAATGGTTTCCTTCTCTGATATGGTCTTCTGTACAATCAACTGCACAGTTGGATGAATGGTTTCCTTCTCTGATATGGTCTTCTGTACAATCATCTTTACAGTTGGATGAGTGGTTTCCTTCTCTGATATGATCTGTTGTACAATCTACTGCACAGTTGGATGTATGGTTTCCTTCTCTGATATGGTCTTCTGTACAATCAACTTCACCTGTGGATGAATGGTGTCCTTCTCTGATATGATCTGTTGTACAATCTACTGCACAGTTGGATGTATGGTTTCCTTCTCTAATATGGTACCCTATACAATCAACTTCACCTGTGGATGAATGGTTTCCTTCTCTGATATGGTCTTCTGTACAATCAACTGCACAGTTGGATGAATGGTTTCCTTCTCTGATATGGTCTTCTGTACAATCAACTGCACAGTTGGATGTATGGTTTCCTTCCCTTATATGGTCTTCTGTACAATCAACTGCACAGTTGGATGAATGGTTTCCTTCTCTGATGTGGTCTTCTGTACAATCATCTTTGCAGTTGAATGAGTGGTTTCCTTCTCTCATGTGGTCTTCTGTACAATCAACTTTACAATTCGATGAATGGTTTCCTTCTCTAATATGGTCTCCTATACAATCAACTTCACCTGTGGATGAATGGTTTCCTTCTCTGATATGGTCTTCTGTACAATCAACTGCACAGTTGGATGTATGGTTTCCTTCTCTGATATGGTCTTCTGTACAATCAACTGCACAGTTCGATAAATGGTTTCCTTCTCTGATATGGTCTTCTGTACAATCATCTTTACAGTTGGATGGGTGGTTTCCTTCTCTGATATGGTCTTCTGTACAATCAACTGCACAGTTGGATGAATGGTTTCCTTCTCTGATATGATCTTCTGTACAATCAACTGCACAGTTGGATGTATGGTTTCCTTCCCTTATATGGTCTTCTGTACAATCAACTGCACAGTTGGATGAATGGTTTCCTTCTCTCATGTGGTCTTCTGTACAATCAATTTTACAGTTGGATGAATGGTTTCCTTCTCTGATATGGTCTTCTGTACAATCAACTGCGCTTTTGGATGTATGGTTTCCTTCTCTGATGTGGTCTTCTGTACAATCATCTTTGCAGTTGAATGAGTGGTTTCCTTCTCTGATATGGTCTTCTGTACAATCAACTGCACAGTTGGATGAATGGTTTCCTTCTCTGATGTGGTGTTCTGTACCATCAACTTTACAGTTGGATGAATGGTTTCCTTCTCTGATATGGTCTTCTGTACAATCAACTGCACAGTTTGATGAATGGTTTCCTTCTCTGATATGGTCTTCTGTACAATCAACTTTACAGTTGTATGAATGGTTTCCTTCTCTGATATGGTTTTCTGTACAATCATCTTTACAGTTAGATGAATGGTTTCCTTCTCTGATATGGTCTTCTGTACAATCATCTTTACAATGGGATGAATGGTTTCCTTCTCTGATATGGTCTTCGGTACAATCAACTTTACAATTGGATGAATGGTTTCCTTCTCTGATGTGGTTTTCTGTACAATCATCTTTACAGTTAGATGAATGGTTTCCTTCTCTGATATGGTCTTCTGTACAATCATCTTTACAATGGGATGAATGGTTTCCTTCTCTGATATGGTCTTCGGTACAATCAACTTTACAATTGGATGAATGGTTTCCTTCTCTGATATGATCTTCTGTACAATCAACTGCACAGTTGGATGAATGGTTTCCTTCTCTGATATGGTCTTCTGTACAATCAATTTTACAGTTGGATGAATTGTTTCCTTCTCTGATATGGTCTTCTGTACAATCAACTGCACAGTTGGATGTATGGTTTCCTTCCCTTATATGGTCTTCTGTACAATCAACTGCACAGTTGGATGAATGGTTTCCTTCTCTGATATGGTCTTCTGTACAATCATCTTTGCAGTTGAATGAGTGGTTTCCTTCTCTCATGTGGTCTTCTGTACAATCAATTTTACAGTTGGATGAATGGTTTCCTTCTTTCATGTGATCTTCTGTACAATCAATTTTACAGTTGGATGAATGGTTTCCTTCTCTGATATGGTCTTCTGTACAATCAACTGCACAGTTGGATGAATGGTTTCCTTCTCTGATATGATCTTCTGTACAATCAACTGCACAGTTGGATGAATGGTTTCCTTCTCTGATATGGTCTTCTGTACAATCAACTGCACAGTTGGATGTATGGTTTCCTTCTCTGATATGGTCTTCTGTACAATCAACTTTACAATTGGATGAATGGTTTCCTTCTCTGATATGATCTTCTGTACAATCAACTGCACAGTTGGATGAGTGGTTTCCTTCTCTGATATGGTCTTCTGTACAATCAACTTTACAGTTGGATGAATGGTTTCCTTCTCTGACATGGTCTTCTGTACAATCAATTTTACAGTTGGATGAATGGTTTCCTTCTCTGATATGGTCTTCAGTACAATCATCTTTACAGTTGGATGAGTGGTTTCCTTCTCTGATATGATCTGTTGTACAATCTACTGCACAGTTGGATGAATGGTTTCCTTCTCTGATATGGTCTTCTGTACAATCATCTTTACAATGGGATGAATGGTTTCCTTCTCTGATATGGTCTTCGGTACAATCAACTTTACAATTGGATGAATGGTTTCCTTCTCTGATGTGGTTTTCTGTACAATCATCTTTACAATGGGATGAATGGTTTCCTTCTCTGATATGATCTTCTGTACAATCAACTGCACAGTTGGATGAATGGTTTCCTTCTCTGATATGGTCTTCTTTACAATCAACTGCACTTTTGGATGTATGGTTTCCTTGTCTGATATGGTCTTCTGTACAATCAACTGCACAGTTGGATGAATGGTTTCCTTCTCTGATTTGGTCTTCTGTAGAATCAACTTTACAGTTGGATGAATGGTTTCCTTCTCTGATATGGTCTTCTGTACAATCATCTTTACAGTTGGATGAGTGGTTTCCTTCTCTGATATGATCTTTTGTACTATCAACTGCACAGTTGGATGTATGGTTTTTTTCTCTGATATGGTCTTCTGTACAATCAACTGCAGAGTTGGATGAGTAAATTGCATTTGCTATTTGAGCATCAACACTTGTTTTTACTGTGCTATTCTCTGGTGCATAAGATGGTAGAGTCTCAACGCTTGGCGTCACTTTGTTTTCTTTTGGTGTATCAGATGTTGGAGTATCAACAATGTGTTTTACTGTGTTCTCTGTTGGTGCATTTGATATTTCAGTATCAACACTTGGTTTCACTGTGTTCTCTGTTTGTGTTTTTGCTGTTGGAGTATCAACACTTCGTTTTACTGTGTTTTCTGTTGGGGTATTTGCTGTTGGAGTATCAACACTTGGTTTCTCTGTGTTCTCTGTCGGTGTAGTTGCTGTTGGAGTATCAACCCTTGGTTTTCCAGTGTTTTCTGTTGGTGTATTTGCTGTTGGAGTATCAACACTAGGTTTTGTTCTGTTCTCTGTTGGTGTATTTGCTGTTGGAGTATCAACACTTGGTTTCACTGTGCTCTCTGTTGGTGTATTTGCTGTTGGAGTATCAACACTTCGTTGCACTGTGTTCTCTGTTGGTATATTTGCTGTTGGAGTATCAACATTTGGTTTCACAGTGTTTTCTGTTGGTGTATTTGCTGTTGGAGTATCAACACTTGGTTTCGCTGTGTTCTCTGTTGGTGTATTTGCTATTGGAGTATCAACACTTGGTTTCACTGTGTTCTCTGTTGGTATATTTGCTGTTGGAGTATCAACACTTGGTTTCACTGTGTTCTCTGTTGGTATAATTGCTGTTGGAGTATCAACACTTGGTTTCACTGTGCTCTCTGTTGGTGTATTTGCTGTTGGAGTATCAACACTTGGTTTCACTGTGTTCTCTGTTGGTGTATTTGCTGTTGGAGTATCAACACTTGGTCTCACTTTGCTCTCTGTTGGTGTATTTGCTGTTGAAGTAGCAACACTTGGTTTCATTTTGCTCTCTGTTGGTGTATTTGCTGTTGGAGTATCAACACTTGGTTTCACTTTGCTCTCTGTTGGTGTATTTGCTGTTGGAGTATCAACACTTGGTTTCATTTTGCTCTCTGTTGGTATAATTGCTGTTGGAGTATCAACACTTGGTTTCACTTTGCTCTCTGTTGGTGTATTTGCTGTTGGTGTATCAACACTTGGTTTCACTTTGCTCTCTGTTGGTATAATTGCTGTTGGAGTATCAACACTTGGTTTCATTTTGCTCTCTGTTGGTGTATTTGCTGTTGGAGTATCAACACTTGATTTCACTTTGCTCTCTGTTGGTGTATTTGCTGTTGGAGTATCAACACTTGGTTTCACTTTGCTCTCTGTTGGTATAATTGCTGTTTCAGTATCAACACTTGGTTTTACTGTGTTCTCTGTTGGTGCATTTGCTGTTTCAGTATCAACACTTGGTTTTACTGTGTTCTCTGTTGGTGTATTTGCTGTTGGAGTATCAACACTTGGTTTCACTTTGTTTTCTGTTTGTGTATTTGCTGTTGGAGTATCAACACTTGGTTTCTCTGTGTTCTCTGTCGGTGTAGTTGCTGTTGGAGTATCAGCCCTTGGTTTTCCAGTGTTTTCTGTTGGTGTATTTGCTGTTGGAGTATCAACACTTGGTTTCGCTGTGTTCTCTGTTGGTGTATTTGCTGTTGGAGTATCAACACTTCGTTGCACTGTGGTCTCTGTTGGTGTATTTGCTGTTGGAGTATCAACACTAGGTTTCGCTGTGTTTTCTGTTGGTGTATTTGCTGTTGGAGTATCAACACTTGGTTTCACTGTATTCTCTGCTGGTGCATTTGCTGTTGAAGTATCAACACTTTGTTTTACTGTGTTTTCTGTTAATGTATTTCCTCTTGGAGTATCAACACTTGGTTTCACTGTGCTCTCTGTTGGTGTTTTTGCTGTTTCAGTATCAACACTTGGTTTCACTGTGTTCTCTGTTGGTTTACTTACTGTTGGAGTATCAACACTTGGTTTCACTGTGTTCACTGTTGGTTCATTTGCTGTTTGAGTATCAACACTTGGTTTCACTGTGCTCTCTGTTGGTGTTTTTGCTGTTGGAGTATCAACACTTGGTTTCACTGTCCTCTCTGTTGGAGTTTTTGCTGTTTCAGTATCAACACTTGGTTTCACTGTGTTCTCTGTTGGTGTATTTGCTGTTGGAGTATCAACACTTGGTTGCATTGTGTTCTCTGTTGGAGTTTTTGCTGTTTCAGTATCAACACTTGGTTTCACTGTGTTCTCTGTTGGTGTATTTGCTGTTGTAGTATCAACACTTGGTTTCACTGTCCTCTCTGTTGGAGTTTTTGCTGTTTCAGTATCAACACTTGGTTTCACTGTGCTCTCTGTTGGTGTTTTTGCTGTTTCAGTATCAACACTTGGTTTCACTGTGTTCTCTGTTGGTGTATTTGCTGTTGTAGTATCAACACTTGGTTTCACTGTGCTCTCTGTTGGAGTTTTTGCTGTTTCAGTATCAACACTTGGTTTCACTGTGTTCTCTGTTGGTGTATTTGCTGTTGTAGTATCAACACTTGGTTTCACTGTGCTCTCTGTTGGAGTTTTTGCTGTTTCAGTATCAACACTTGGTTTCACTGTGTTCTCTGTTGGTGTATTTGCTGTTGTAGTATCAACACTTGGTTTCACTGTGCTCTCTGTTGGTGCATTTGCTGTTGTAGTATCAACACTTGGTTTCACTGTGCTCTCTGTTGGTGTATTTGCTGTTGGAGTATCAACATTTGGTTTCACTGTGTTCTCTGTTGGTATAATTGCTGTTGGAGTATCAACACTTGGTTTCACTGTGTTCTCTGTTGGTATAATCGCTGTTGGAGTATCAACACTTGGTTTCACTGTGTTCTCTGTTGTTGTATTTGATGTTGGAGTCTCAACACTTGGTTTCGCTGTGTTCTCTATTGGCGTATTTGCTGTTGGAATACTAACACTTGGTTTCACAGTGTTCTCTGATTGTGTATTTGCTGTTGGAGTGGCAACACTTGGTTTCACTGTGCTCGCTGTTGGTGTATTTGCTGTTGGAGTATCAACACTTGGTTTCACTGTGTTCTCTGTTGTTGTATTTGCTGTTGGAGTATCAACACTTGGTTTCATTTTGCTCTCTGTTGGTGTATTTGCTGTTGGAGTATCAACACTTGGTCTCACCTTGCTCTCTGTTGGTGTATTTGCTGTTGGAGTATCAACACTTGATTTCACTTTGCTCTCTGTTGGTGTATTTGCTGTTGGAGTATCAACACTTGGTTTCACTGTGCTCTCTGTTGGTGTATTTGCTGTTGGAGTATCAACACTTGGTTTCACTGTGTTCTCTGTTGGTGTATTTGCTGTTGGAGTATCAACACTTGGTTTCGCTGTGTTCTCTGCTGGTTTATTTCCTGTTGGAGTATCAGCTCTTGCTTTCACTGTGCTCTCTGTTGGTGTATTTGCTGTTGGAGTATCAACACTTGTTTTCACTGTGTTCTCTGTTTGTGTATTTGCTGTTGGAGTATCAACACTTGGTTTCACTGTGCTCTCTGTTGGTGTATTTGCTGTTGGAGTATCAACACTTGGTTTCATTGTGTTCTTAGTTGGTGTATTTGCTGTTGGAGTATCAACACTTGGTTTCACTGTGCTCTCACTTGGTGTATTTGCTGTTGAAGTATCAACACTTGGTTTCGCTGTATTGTCTGTCGGTGTTTTTGTTGTTGGAGTATCAACACTTGGTTTTGCTGTGTTCTCTGTTGGTGTATTTGCTGTTGGAGTATCAACACTTGGTTTCACTTTGCTCTCTGTTGGTGTATTTGCTGTTGGAGTATCAACACTTGGTTTCACTGTGTTCTCTGTTGGTGTATTTGCTGTTGGAGTATCAACACTTGGTTTCACTGTGTTCTCTGTTGGTGTATTTGCTGTTGGAGTATCAACACTTGGTTTCACTGTGTTCTCTGTTGGTGTATTTGCTGTTGGAGTATCAACACTTGGTTTCGCTGTGTTCTTAGTTGGTGTATTTGCTGTTGGAGTATCAACACTAGGTTTCACTGTGCTCTCAGTTGGTGTATTTGCTGTTGAAGTATCAACACTTGGTTTCGCTGTGTTGTCTGTCGGTGTTTTTGATGTTGGAGTATCAACACTTCGTTTCACTTTGCTCTCTGTTGGTGTATTTGCTGTTGGAGTATCAACACTTGGTTTCACTGTGTTCCCTGTTGGTGTTTTTGCTGTTGGAGTATCAACACTTGGTTTCACTGTGTTCTCTGTTGGTGTTTTTGCATTTGGAGTATCAACACTTGGTTTCATCGTGTTTTTACTTGGTGTTTTTGCTGTAGGAGTATCAACACTTGGTTTCGGTGTGCTCTCCGTTGTTGTATTTGCTGGTGGAGTATCAGCACTTTGTTTCACTTTGCTCTCTGTTGGTGTATTTGCTGTTGGAGTATCAACACTTGGTTTCACTGTGTTCCCTGTTGGTGTTTTTGCTGTTGGAGTATCAACACTTGGTTTCACTGTGTTCTCTGTTGGTGTTTTTGCATTTGGAGTATCAACACTTGGTTTCATTGTGTTTTTACTTGGTGTTTTTGCTGTAGGAGTATCAACACTTGGTTTCGGTGTGCTCTCCGTTGTTGTATTTGCTGGTGGAGTATCAGCACTTTGTTTCACTTTGCTCTCTGTTGGTGTATTTGCTGTTGGAGTATCAACACTTGGTATCACTGTGTTCTCTGTCGGTGTTTTTGCTGTTGGAGTATCACTTCTTGGTTTCGCTATGTTCTCTGTTGGTGTATTTGCTGTTGGAGTATCAACACTTGGTTTCATTGTGTTTTCTGTTGGTGTATTTTGTGTTGGAGTATCAACCCTTGGTGTAATTGTGTTCTCTGTTGGTGTATTTGCTGTTGGAATATCAACACTTTGTTCCACTGTGCTCTCTGTTGGTGTTTTTGCTGTTGGAGTATCAAGACTTGGTTTCGCTGTGTTCTCTGTTGTTGCATTTGCTGTTGGAGTATCAACACTTGGTTTTACTGTGTTTTCTGTTAATGTATTTCCTCTTGGAGTATCAACACTTGGTTTCACTGTGTTCTCTGTTGGTGCATTTGCTGATGGAGTATCAACACTTGGTTTCGCTGTGTTCTCTGTTGGTGCACTTGCTGTTGGATTATCAACACTTGGTTTCGCTGTGTTCTCTGTTGGTGCATTTGCTGTTGGAGTATCAACACTTTGTTCCACTGTGCTCTCTGTTGGTGTTTTTGCTGTTGGAGTATCAACTCTTGGTTTCACTGTTCTCTCTGTTGTTGTATTTGCTGTTGGAGTATCAACACTCGGTTTCTCTGAGTTTTTTGGTGGTGTATTTGCTTTTAGAGTATCAACAATTGGTTTTACTGTGTTATCTTTTGGTGTATTTGCTGTTGGAGTATCAATATTTGGTTTCACTTTGCAGAACGATGAATGGTTTCCTTCTCTGATATGGTATTCTGTACAATCATCTGGACAGTTGAATAGATGCTTTTCTTCTCTGATATGGTCTTTTGTACAATCATTTGGACAGTTTGATGAATGGTTTCCTTCTCTGATATTGTCTTTTGTACCATCAACTTTACAGTTGGCCGAATGGTTTCCTTCCCTGATGTTGTATTCTGTACAATCAACTGCACAGTTGGATGAATGGTGTCCTTCTCTGATATGGTCATCTGCACAGTCATCTTTACAGTTGGCTGAATGGTTTCCTTCTCTGATATGGTCTTCTGTACAATCATCTTTACAGTTGTATTGATGGTTTCCTTCTCTGATATGGTCTTCTGTACAATCATCTGCACAGTTGAATGAATGGTGTCCTTCTCTGATATGGTCTTCTGTACAGTCATCTTTGCAGCTGGCTGAATGGTTTCCTTCTCTAATATGGTCTTCTGTACAATGATCTTTACAGTTGGATGGATGGTTTCCTTCTCTGATATGGTCTTCTGTACAATCAACTGCACAGTTCAATGAATGGTTTCCTTCTCTGATATGGTCTTCTGTACAATCATTTTTAGAGTTGGATGAGTAGTTTCCTTCTCTGATATGGTCTTCTGTACAATCAACTTTACAGTTGGATGAATGGTTTCCTTCTCTGATATGGTCTTCTGTACAATCAACTTCACCTGTGGACGAGTGGTTTCCTTCTCTGATATGATCTTTTGTACAATCATCTTTACAGTTGGATGAGTGGTTTCCTTCTCTGATATGGTCTTCTGTACGATCAACTGCACAGTTGGATGAATGGTTTCCTTCTCTGATATGGTCTTCTGTACAATCAACTTCACCTGTGGACGAGTGGTTTCCTTCTCTGATATGATCTTTTGTACAATCAACTGCACAGTTGGATGAATGGTTTCCTTCTCTGATATGGTCTTCTGTACAATCAACTTCACCCGTGGACGAGTGGTTTCCTTCTCTGATATGATCTTTTGTACAATCAACTGCACAGTTGGATGAATGGTTTCCTTCTCTAATATGGTCTTCTGTACAATCAACTGCACAGTTCGATGAGTGGTTTCCTTCTCTGATATGGTCTTCTGTACGATCAACTGCGCTTTTGGATGTATGGTTTCCTTCTCTGATGTGGTCTTTTGTACAATCAACTGCATAGTTGGATGAATGGTTTCCTTCTCTGATATGGTCTTCTGTACGATCAACTGCGCTTTTGGATGTATGGTTTCCTTCTCTGATATGGTCTTCTGTACAATCAACTTCACCTGTGGACGAGTGGTTTCCTTCTCTGATATGATCTTTTGTACAATCATCTTTGCAGTTGGATGAGCTGTTTCCTTCTCTGATATGGTCTTCTGTACGATCAACTGCACAGTTGGATGAATGGTTTCTTTCTCTGATATGGTCTTCTGTACAATCAACTTCACCTGTGGACGAGTGGTTTCCTTCTCTGATATGATATTTTGTACAATCAACTGCACAGTTGGATGAATGGTTTCCTTCTCTGATATGGTCTTCTGTACAATCAACTTCACCTGTGGACGAGTGGTTTCCTTCTCTGATATGATCTTTTGTACAATCAACTGCACAGTTGGATGAATGGTTTCCTTCTCTGATATGGTCTTCTGTACAATAAACTTCACCTGTGGACGAGTGGTTTCCTTCTCTGATATGATCTTCTGTACAATCAACTGCACAGTTCGATGAGTGGTTTCCTTCTCTGATATGGTCTTCTGTACAATCAATTTTACAGTTGGATGAATGGTTTCCTTCTCTGATATGGTCTTCTGTACGATCAACTGCGCTTTTGGATGTATGGTTTCCTTCTCTGATATGGTCTTCTGTACAATCAACTTCACCTCTGGATGAGTGGTTTCCTTCTCTGATATGATCTTTTGTACAATCAACTGCACAGTTGGATGAATGGTTTCCTTCTCTGATATGGTCTTCTGTACAATCAACTGCAGAGTTGGATGAGTAAATTGCATTTGCTATTTGAGCATCATCACTTGTTTTCACTGTGCTATTCTCTGGTGCATAAGATGGTTGAGTCTCCACGCTTGGTGTCACTTTGATTTCCTTTGGTGTATCAGATGTTGGAGTATCAACAATGTGTTTTACTGTGTTCTCTGTTGGTGCATTTGCTGTTTCAGTATCAACACTTGGTTTCACTGTGTTCTCTGTTTGTGTATTTGCTTTTGGAGTCTCAACACTTCGTTTTACTGTGTTCACTGAAGGGGTATTTACTGTTGGAGTATCAACACTTGGTTTCTCTGTTTTCTCTGTCGGTGTAGTTGCTGTTGGAGTATCAACACTTGGTTTTCCAGTGTTTTCTGTTGGTGTATTTGCAGTTGGAGTATCAACACTTGATTTCACTGTGTTCTCTGTTGGTGTATTTGCTGTTGTAGTATCAACACTTGGTTTCGCTGTGTTCTCTGTTGGTGTATTTGCTGTTGGAATATCAACACTTTGTTTCATTGTGTTCTCTGTTGGTGTATTTGGTGTTGGAGTATCAACACTTGGTGGCACTGTGTTCTCTGTTGGTATATTTGCTGTTGGAGTATCAACACTTGGTTTCACTGTGCTTTCTGTTGGGGTTTTTGCTGTTGGAGTATCAACATTTGGTTTCACAGTGTTCTCTGCTGGTGTATTTGCTGTTGGAGTATCAACACTTGGTTTCACTGTGCTCTCTGTTGGTGTATTTGCTGTTGGAGTGTCAACACTTGGTTTCACTGTGTTCTCTGTAGGTTTACTTACTGTTGAAATATCAACACTTGGTTTCACTGTGTTCACTGTTGGTGCATTTGCTGTTTCAGTATCAACACTTGGTTTCACTGTCTTCTCTATTGCTGTATTTGCTGTTAAAGTATCAACACTTGGTTTCACTGTATTCTCTGTTGGTGCATTTGCTGTTGGAGTATCAACACTTGGTTTTACTGTGTTTTCTGTTAATGTATTTCCTCTTGGAGTATCAATACTTGGTTTCACTGTGTTCTCTGTTGGTGCATTTGCTGATGGAGTATCAAGACTTGGTTTCGCTGTGTTCTCTGTTGGTGCATTTGCTGTTGGAGTATCAACTCTTGGTTTCACTGTGTTCTCTGTTGGTGTATTTGCTGTTGTAGTATCAACACTTGGTTTCATTGTGCTCTCTGTTGCTGTTTGAGTATCAACACTAGGTTTCACTGTGCTCTCTGTTGGTGTTTTTGCTGTTGGAGTATCAACACTTGGTTTCACTGTGCTCTCTGTTGGTATAATTGCTGTTGGGGTATCAAGACTTGGTTTCACTGTGTTCTCTGTTGGTGTATTTGCTGTTGGAGTATCAACACCTGATTTCACTGTGCTCTCAGTTGGTGTATTTGCTGTTGAAGTATCAACACTTGGTTTCACTGTGCTATTCTCTGGTGCATAAGATGGTTGAGTCTCAACGCTTGGTGTCACTTTGATTTCCTTTGGTGTATCAGATGTTGGAGTATCAACAATGTGTTTTACTGTGTTCTCTGTTGGTGCATTTGCTGTTTCAGTATCAACACTTGGTTTCACTGTGTTCTCTGTTTGTGTATTTGCTTTTGGAGTATCAACACTTCGTTTTAATGTGTTTTCTGAAGGGGTATTTACTGTTGGAGTATCAACACTTGGTTTCTCTGTTTTCTCTGTCGGTGTAGTTGCTGTTGGAGTATCAACACTTGGTTTTCTAGTGTTTTCTGTTGGTGTATTTGCTGTTGGAGTATCAACACTTGGTTTCACTGTGTTCTCTGTTGGTGTATTTGCTGTTGGAGTATCAACACTTGGTTTCGCTGTGTTCTCTGTTGGTGAATTTGCTTTTGGATTATCAACACTTGGTTGCACTGTGTTCTCTGTTGGTATATTTGCTGTTGGAGTATGAACACTTGGTTTCACTGTGCTCTCTGTTGGTGTATTTGCTGTTGGAGTATCAACACTTGGTTTCACTGTGTTCTCTTTTGGTTTACTTACTGTTGGAATATCAACACTTGGTTTCACTGTGTTCACTGTTGGTGCATTTGCTGTTTCAGTATCAACACTTGGTTTCACTGTCTTCTCTATTGCTGTATTTGCTGTTAAAGTATCAACACTTGGTTTCACTGTATTCTCTGTTGGTGCATTTGCTGTTGTAGTATCAACACTTGGTTTCATTGTGTTCTTAGTTGGTGTATTTGCTGTTGGAGTATCAACTCTTTGTTTCACTGTGCTCTCTATTGGTGTATTTGCTGTTGTAGTATCAACACTTGGTTTCATTGTGCTCTCTGTTGCTGTTTGAGTATCAACACTAGGTTTCACTGTGCTCTCTGTTGGTGTTTTTGCTGTTGGAGTATCAACACTTGGTTTCACTGTGCTCTCTGTTGGTGTTTTTGCTGTTTCAGTATCAACACTTGATTTCACAGTTTTCTCTGTTGGTGTATTTGCTGTTGTAGTATCAACACTTCGTTTTACTGTGTCCTCTGTTGGTGCATTTGCTGTTGGAGTATCAACACTTGGTTTCACTGTGCTCTCTGTTGGTGCATTTGCTGTTTCAACATCAACACTTGGTTTCACTGTGTTCTCTGTTGGTGCATTTGCTGTTTCAGCATCAACACTTGGTTTCACTGTGCTCTCTGTTGGTGCATTTGCTGTTTCAGCATCAACACTTGGTTTCACTGTCTTCTCTGTTAGTGTATTTGCTGTTGGAGTATCAAAACTTGGTTTCACTGTGTTCTCTGCTGGTGTATTTGCTGTTTCAGTAACAACACTTGGTTTCACTGTGCTCTCTGTTGGTGCATTTGCTGTTTCAGTATCAACACTTGGTTTCACTGTGCTCTCTGTTGGTGCATTTGCTGTTTCAGTATCAACACTTGGTTTCACTGTGCTCTCTGTTGGGTTTTTTGCTGTTTCAGTATCAACACTTGGTTTCACTGTCTTCTCTATTGCTGTATTTGCTGTTAAAGTATCAACACTTGGTTTCACTGTATTCTCTGTTGGTGCATTTGCTGTTGTAGTATCAACACTTGGTTTCATTGTGTTCTTAGTTGGTGTATTTGCTGTTGGAGTATCAACTCTTTGTTTCACTGTGCTCTCTATTGGTGTATTTGCTGTTGTAGTAT